TTTTAAACAAGTATCTTATAAATAATTCATAAAACATCATAAAGTGAATAAAAATTCAGTAATTAGAGCTATTCAACATCAAATATAGAGGTTGTTAAGAATAAATACATTTTCAATGAACAACTTACTACATGGATACAAAACTCAGTTAATGGAAAAGGAATACACTAAGGTGGAAATAACTGTTAGATCAAGTTACATAAATTAGAGTAAATAGACATTATGAACTCCACGTTTAAAAATGATATCAGATACTGAATAATAGTAAGTGATGTTGAATACACAACGGAAAATGTAAAAAAACTGCTAACTGGGATAACCAAAATCAGTTCAGATTAAGCTGGTTATAAGTGCCTATCAGTTGACTTCATATACCGACAAACCGACAGTGTAGCAATGGAAAGTCCGTTACGTCCTGCCCTAGCAGATATTTTTATGGCTAATCTCTAAAAAACCAAGATCAAAGGAGTGATTGATGAAATGATGTATTCGTGGTATGCTGATGATACCTTCATCGTATGTAATCAATTAGATCCTAGTCAAAAACAATATTGTTCACTACTTATTTTAGATTTAGTAGATTTCAACACACTATTAATCTTCAAAATTTATTTCAGCGGAGTCATATTTAGACAATAATCAATTGTTTGAAGCCAAAGAAGCATTAGATGAAGTAATGAAAATTGGTGGTCTTGATAATCAAACATTATATCTTGTATGTCCTATTTTAATGTTTAGTAGTTAATAATTATAAAGATTTTTCGGTTTTTGTAACAAAAGCTGACTTTCAACCTTAACATATACTTGCCTTTTTGTGTCGTAGAACTCTCAATTGGCCTCTGAGGATAGAAGGTTTAATTAAAAGCCTCTTAGATTGTTCGGCTCAGTTGTGTTGATCTCTAGAAATTTCTAGAATCACCGTTCTGGATCATAAAAATAGCTATTCTTGTTTAGCTACTCAAGATTATCAAAGCAGTGCTAAACAACTGCTCAGTAGGTCTCGATTTCAACTAATTTATTCACTGTCGAAGTTGTTTACAATCATGAATGAAGTCTTGATTGCCTCATATTCTTGAACCTAGTTCCATGTTTTGCGTGCTAGCTTGCTTGGAGCATACCAAAGGATGAAGTGCACATGTTAATATGGTTTCTTCTATTCTGAAAACCCAACCACAATAACTGAAGATGCCACAGGTATGGTTGTTGTTGTTTTGAAACGAGACAAGCACAGATTGCACCTGCTGAGGAAGGTTAGACAATAAAATTTGGATGTAGTTATCAAGTGTATCTCAATTAATCACCTAACCAAGCTATATTGCCTTGAACATTTGTTGTTCGAGGTCCTAGCGTGCCAGTTCAACAGCTGTTAATTCAAAGTCGTCATATTTAAGTTCGGAGTTGTACGAAGTTGTACTGTCGACTATTTGAGAATATGCCAGCAATATGTATCCTAAAGATAATGGTGATACCACTCTTCTAAAATAAGGTTGCTCCCTTCGTACCACGGATTTTGGTTCTGGTGGTAAAGTTTGGAAGCCTACAGTCAGTCCTTGAGGAAAAAACCACTTAAGAAAAAGTCATTCATGACCGATCTCAAGGTATTGTTGAGTTTTATGAGTGCATTCCCAATCCAACAGGTCTTTAAATATTAACGTATCTAAATTTTTCAATCCTCTAACCTCTTATATCCTTGTTATCACTTAATTTATGGTTTCACCTTCTCTTTCATGTACAACCACTTCTAACCTTTTCACCTACATGTTGAAGTGTTCAATGTCCTAACAGTTTGTCAAACTAGAAAACAGATTTTACTAGCCACGGTTCTAAAATCGTATGGCATGGATATATTCAATGTTTCTAAAACCCGAAAACAGAACTCCATTACTGGATTATAGGTAACCTTAAGCATTTCACTCGGATAGCGAAGCTTTCGAGAGATTCTGCTAAGTTTAAAAGTAGGTTTTTTAGGTAGTGATGGCAAATGAGTTTATGTAGAGCCCATTAATAACAGGGCTCAAGATCGTTGCCAGTGATTCCTTCTCATTCATCCTTTTTTTCTAAATTTCCAGCATAGTGTTACCCAAAACCTCTACTTCCAATAGTTTTTTTTTTAACCGTGTTTATTCTTAAGTCAATATTAATACCTTCATTTCTGTGTTTTACGTCCTGTCAATTTTTCTTCTACTTGTGGTAGCCTAAACTGGGACATAACACTTTTTTCATGATTGACTGATACTGTTAAATTACATTTCCAGCCAAAATGCACCTGGATTGTTTATACATGTTTCTCAACATACTACTTTAGTGTACAACGTCTTAGATCTCTACCTCATGAACCAGGTCTACATTACCACCGACGCTGTCAGTCGATTGACTTGTATTTAGACAATATTTCCTAAAATATGTTAGGTTTATGATCAGTCACAATTTCTGTCGGACTCAAGTCAACAGTCAATGCCGACTACCAGCTATACTATGTATCGATATGATTACACTTCTTTATCCAACTAAGTTTTACAACTGTAATCACCACACATTTTTCTCATAAGATTTATTATCCATATGTATGTTTCGACTAATTTATTGATGCAAACTCATCGAATGACTTGCCAACTTCAAATGGGCTCACCAACAGTTATATGAGGTTTGGAGCGTAGTTTTGGCTTAATAGTATTATTACAGTGCATTTGAAATAGTATCGAGAAAGTTTTCGTTAAATCGTAGTTTTTGATTTTCTTACTGGTAATTACATACGACATAATCGTTTCTAGCATTTTTGTACGACCATTATCATTACTTAATGGTTATTTGTTCTTCGTTGAATGACTCACAACCATACTGCTTTGGTTTGAATAAATAAACGACTGTTTTAACTTCCTTATATGTACTCCGTTAATTAAGATTCTGCTTCCTCAAATCCATTCATTTAGGAATTGAGGATCTATTCTGTGGAAAACATGGCATTTGGAATACACGATTTTACCATCTGATTATGTTGTCCTAGCAAACTCATCGTTACTTAGAATTATTTAGTTATAGTATGTACTTATATTAAAAAAAGATTTAGTAATTTGTCCTGACTCGGATAATGATTAGTTGTTCAGCCCCAATCCCTATAAACTGGGATATAAATATAATCTACTTGTATTGGTTGTTTGAGTCTTCCCATTGGTGTTTAGGATCGCGATTGATCAGTCTCTTTTTAGCTTATGTGCTTCCTGTATGTATTGCTTTAATACTCATTGAGTCCGCACGAAATGTACGTATGCCAAAGTGATTGATTAATCGTGGTTCTAAACATCAATAAGTAGATTCAAATAACGAATACAAATGAATTAAACTTCAACCCATTGCACAAGTTGGCGCCCACTTCGACTCAGTAGCTAAGTAAATAACGCGGAGCGAATGGTATTGGGTTTGAATCCCGAAAGGGATGAGGTACACCCTATTGAAGAGTCACAAATGGGACGAAACACGTGTCCTGAGCTCCATTGCTAGCTATCACCTATCTCTGCTAATAATAAATATGATTGTGTCCACAAATGAGTTTTGTTTGTGTAGTAATATTGCAATTGGACGTGCATGGAGTTTTGATATTTGTTACTGTTTGTAATTATGCAGCGTGGACGTTTAGCAGAAGAACGAGGACTCGTGTGCATAGCCCGATCTTTATATGAAAGCGTTATTGCATTGAAACCGGACCATTTACAGGCATTACTTTCTTTAGTAAGTTAAATATTTATTATCATTCGAATGAGCTTATATTTCCCTTTTTGTTGATATTTGGGACGTCTTTGCTGACATGTTTACATGGCAAGCAAATGTCCCATCGAGGAAGTTGGTAGCTTTGGTGAGTCAATAGCTTTTAGTGAAGACCATATTGGCTCTTAAAGTGATAGGTACAGTACCACCGACTTCTGAAGCTGTTGCATTTAGTACTTTTCACGCTTATGTAGTTTTTGGATAAACCAATTAACTTTTCGAGTCACTACCTACACATCTATTTTACCTTGTTACCTATTCATTTGTAATCCTGATTTTTTTTACATGGATGTGTGTTTAACACATTTTCTCCGTCACGTCTTTAATTTTTCCCTATCTGACTACAAATAATAAGTCTCGCCTCATTAAATTGGGTTGGCACGTTTGATTTCTCCGCTTCTCACTTTTGTTGTTTCTATGATTCACCCATAGTTAAAGAGATAACGGTGCACCTTAGATTTTTCAAACTCAGGAGCTGCTTGAGATGTTTTATTTACTGAAGAAAAGTCAAATACCAACCTTTGGGTCTGAGAAATTTAAATTAATCAACTGATTTCAACACCCTTCATTGACGTCCAAAAGGCAGAATTACAGTGTCATGATGAGCTTCATTGATAAGGAACACAGTACTTATTCCTTAAAACAGTAGATATGCCATCGAAATGACCGTTGTAGGGTGCTTTTCGTTTTCATTAGTAAGTACATTCAATCTTGCTAAAGATAATCGTTACGGTTGCACTTTAGGATACATCTGAATAATTTTTATATTCTAGTTTGTTTCACTGTCTGTTGTTTAATCCATTATAATAACGATCTTTTATATCAGGCTAGTCTTTTACATAAAAATAATCAAACAACCCTGGCTGAACGTGTAGCACGAGATGCAATGAATGTGGACCCGACAAGTTTTCGTGTATGGCGTTTACTTGCTGACATATTAGGTTCCTCAAATACACCGGAACCAGCATCTGAAGCTGTCGTTACACGTGCACTATTAACAGCCATTGAACTGGAACAAACTGAACCGATTGAACCATTTTATTGCTTACCACTTGGTGTACGATGTAATTAAATATGATATCTTTCGATTACTATTAATCCTTTATATTACTTAGCGCTGTAATTATACACATCTATATTCTTTGTAATTATAGTTGATGATTTTTATAGGTTAGCTTATTTATACACTGTCCTATTTGATCAAGATACTTTGGGTTTCTTTCAAATATGTATATAAATTAAATATGATATAAAAGTTGTTTTTATGCTTTCGATACTCACTATTAGTGTTAGGTGCGACTACATTTAGTGTATATGTTTAGGTCGGTTGGAAAAGTAGTTTAAGTAAAATACAAAATCCGTTTCAGTTTATTAGTTTGTGATATGTACATAATGCATTGCTTAACAGCTAGATGGTTAAAGTCTAGTTGCAGACTAGAAATATAGGTAATGGCAGACTACTAGTATGATGCTTTACCACTATACTTTATTGAATACTTTAATCAATTCTCTGATAAGAATGTTGGCTTCATCTTTAAAAAGTGACAATAACTAGTTTTCCGGACATCCGCATCGAGGAAAAAAACGATACAAACCTGAGAGTTTGTGGCTTTTCTACGAAAACAAAGGAGACATTATGAAATAACTGTATAAACAATATTCAGCTATCGTAAGACTGAAATAAGTCCACTTCAAAAGTAATAATTTCAGATCACAATATATTGTTTAATGGAGAAATCTGTTCATTCAACAAATTATTCATTTAAAAAAAAAAAATTAAAAGCCAACTTTCCCAAGTCTTTCGTCAGTTTTTGGATCTGCTGTCAATTTTTGAACATGCACTATGCTAGCGTTTGCTTGGTTTTGTAATTTTCGTAGCCGATCTATATTTAGCAGTCTTAACGCAATAGCTGCAGCCTTTACAAGAGGATCTTTAACACTAAATCCAAGACATACATCATCAAGCTTGAGCATATCGACCTAAACGGTGCAAGAAAATTGAATAAATACATTTAGATTGTTTTTTTCTTCCAGACGTTATCATTACAAACAATGCGGTTTCCATTTAAAAGTAATCATACAGACTCATCAACTTACCACATTTTCTGAAAGTAAATAAATGTGCATACAACGACAGAACGGGTCAATCAATCAGTCACAACGTGAAACCTGGTACGTATGTACATCACTCCAAGTTACCATACTTAATTAGTAAGGAGAAATAAAGCCGAAAATCGTAGAGGTAGTGACAGTATCGGTGGTAACAGGAACAAACAATCAGGGTAGACATAACGGTCAGACATGTGTAGATGAATATAAACACATCACACATACCTGAGGGTTTCACCGACGATATTGTCCAGAAGGACAGTTAAAGCAGCACGATCAAACCACCCAGCTCAAACAAAGAAACCAACAAGTGCAACCATCTGAGCAACAAATCTTTTTCATCATCTTAAACCAGGTTCCCAAACACTGAGTAGATGAACAGCTAACTACTGATAAGCTTGAAAACAATATTCTTATAAACTGAATTTCATCAGACCTCTCAAAAAGGAGAGAAACTACATAATATTTCACTGTATTTCTTTTCTAACTATATAAAACTATAGGTATCATTACCAAGGTTTGATTTGATAATTTCGAATAAATTGAGCATTGGGTTGATTGTTATAAATAAATAATATATTTGTAATATCCCAATGAGTAGAAAATTAGATTTTCTGACGTTACGTGGCTTAGTGTAAGTCACTTCTTCAGAGAATAAATAACCAAATTAAAATTAATCCAAGTTTAAATAGTACAACAGAACAATACAACAATAATATTTGATCAATCAAAAAACAGATGTCGTGAAGGACCAACACAAGCCAGCCCTTTGCAGCTTTCTTTCATACCACGACACCATGTCATACACTGACCACCTCTGCCTTTTCCAACCAGTCCCAGAGTCGGAAAATAATGCACGACGTGAATTTCTGTGGGACGGCATTCGTAGGACATGTCCAAGCCACCGAAGTTGGTGTTTCAAGATACTGACACCAATTTCATTATCGTCTCTGTGCCCGAACACAAGATGCCGAACCTCTGCATTACTGACATGGTGTTGCCACTGGATGTCAGCAATCCTTCGGAGGCAACGATGATCAAACACAGAGAGTCGTCTAACATCCTCAACTCAGAGAGCCCAGGTTTCACAAGCATAGAGCAAAACTGCTCTCACCGACGCGTTTTAGATACAACCTTTTACAGCCAGACTAACATCACGAAGGCGCCAAAGATGGTCCAGATTTACATAAGCCGCTCTGGCTTTCACTATACGTGCATTGATCTCATCACTCACACCACCACAAGCACTTATGCAGCTACCTAGATACACGAACTTCTCGACTACTTCTATCTGCTCACCATCCAGAGTGAGTACAGGATTAGAATCCTGTCAGTCTTGTAAAAGTACTTTGCACTTCGAAGGTGCAAAGCACATACCATACCTACGGACACTGATTGCCAACTGATTAAGTGCGGATTGCATGGCTTGAACATTCTCGCACAGTAAGACAATATCATCCGCGTACTCAGGGTCGAGAAGTCTTTCTCCAGGCAACAGATCCACACCACCATTACTTACATCCATCAGAGCTGTTTCCAGAATGTCATCGATGGCAAAGTTGAAGAGGAATGGTGAGATTGGGCAACCCTGCCTAACTCCACTGCTTGAATGGAATAGTGGAGAAAGGTGGTTGTATGCCCTCACTCTGTCTGAGGTGTGTGTATATAGGGCTTTGAGGATGTTAATAAACTTCTCAGGCACACCCTTCTTCAATAGACGATCCCAGAGAACAGTTCTGTCCAACGAATCGAAGGCAGCTCTGATATCAAGAAACACTACGATTGTTGGCCTTTGATAAGTATGACGGTGTTCTAACATTTGGCGGAGGGTGAAGATATGATCAATACATCCTCGACCAGAACGAAACCCAGCCTGCTCCTCGCGAGTCAATCTTTCTCGGGCTTTGAACAACCTACGAAGTATGACGGAAGCCAACAGCTTGGATGCAATCGGAAGTAAACTTATTCCCCGATAGTTGTTACAAGAACGACGTGAACCCTTTTTAAAGATAGGGGCAACTATCGACTCATTCCGTGACGTTGGTATACTCTCTAGTTCCTAGACCTTTGTAAACAACGTCGTCAGTCCATTAGTCCTGTGATTTATAGAGCTTCAAGAGTTGGAGTTGGTGGATCAGTCGTCACCGGCCATGGAGGGCAGGATAGTCTGACCGATATTGCCGTAGCAGCAGGCCAGTTGAACTGCCCTTCGAAGAATTCTGTCCCTCGTCCACGACGTCGATGGATGTTAATGATTGGCATCTCATCATCCTCGCAGATTGTTTCGCTCACACCAGACTTCTTGCTGCTACTTGCTCGGATGAGTTGGAAGATCTTTCGGCAAATACCAGATGCAGCTGCTGCTTCCAGCTGATTAACACACTCCGCTTCACTTATCTTGGGAGTCTCATCAGCCCTTGTGGTCCGGTGTTTGACGAAATCTCAGCACGGATACAAAAGGCTCGACTAGCTTTTGCCAACCCGCGTTATTTATTGCGTAGACGAGATATACGTCTACCAACCAAAGGACAGCTTTACTGTGCAGCAGTTCGTTTCGTCCTACTTTATGGCAGTGAAACATGGCCGGCAAGAGTAGAGGATATTCGTTGGTTACTAGTATTCAATCATAGATGTCTTCGAAACATTGCTCGTATATCCTGGGACCACTGAGTAAGTAACTCAGTTGTTAGGAAACGGGTACTAGGTGAGGATGGCAAGTCAACTGATGAAGTAGTGAAACGTCGTCAGTTGAGATGGCTGGGAAATGTGTTACATATGCCCGACCACCGACTACTCCGACGTGCAATGTTTTATGGTGTAGGAGTAGGTTGGAAGAAAGCTAGGGACGGCCAGACCAAAACATGGCACAAATCCATGAAGTCACTGACAAGTGGACTGAGTCATGATGGTAGCAATAGACTACCTGGTTGGGGTCCGCGAGACGATAGCAACCGACGGTTAGAGACCTTGAATGAGAAGGCTCAAAATCGTTTGCAATGGCGCAGGTGCATCCATTCTTTGTGTTCTCTCAAACTCTAATCTTCTGAATTCTTCATATCCTTTATTTTCTTTCCGAATCTATTCCACTGGATTATACTCCTTAAATAACATCATCAAACCCTAATGTTCCTTACCACTACTTATATTTGCACTACCTCTACCACTATGGGATTTGAATTGACAATTGTATCTCTGTGCTAATGTGGTATGGCAACTCGAACTGATGTACGTACTTACGAAGTTCCACTTTGTTACTGACTGACTGACTTACTCGCCATTTTGTAGGCGTCATGAAGTTGCAAACAATGCTCATCTACGCTTTTGGTGGAATGGTAGCTAGCCTAGAAGCTAGCTCGGTTCGATACTTACTAGCAACAGCAGTTGCAACCAACTTGCTTACACAAATCCTTTGGTGGCGGTCACTTCGTTGTCCACTGAAAAGTAAGGTAAGGTTGGCGCAGACCAGGGCATGATCAGATTCCAGATAGGTACTCCAAAAAGAGCGGCAGTCTTGTACACAACCACGCCAGAGGTAGCTGATCGCGATGTGATCAATCTGAGTCCAGGCTTGAGATGCAGAAGGAGGACGCCAGGTGGCACATCGGCGATGACTGTGCCGAAAGTTAGTGCTAGTCAGAAACAAGTTGTGGTCTGTGCACAGTTGCAGTAGATGGTCCCCGTTATCTGTCCTGCGACCAACAAGTCCCCATCGGACACCTAAACAACTCTCTTTTGTGCCTAGACGCCCAACATGAGCATTCAAGTCTCCGGCTAGTACTACAATATCTGTCGAACGCACTTTCTGGAGAAGAACAGATAACTGGTGGTAGATTATTTATTTATTATTTATTTTAACACATAGATATTGGTACAAAGAGGTACCAAATACATATGCGCCACACAGATCTCATATGATATGTGTGAGGGCTGTGATACTGCCCGGGTGCCCAAAACGAAGCAGGTGGTTTTCTTAGGGGGCCATACCCCGAGCCTTTGACCCTAAGGTCTAACCCACAAGGCAGTGGAGGATCGTAAGGAGATACAGTCCCATGGTAGCCGGTGACCAAAAATTGGTTCATACGCCATTTGTTCACTCAGGATACTGAAGTCCATGTGCACCATCGGTTTGGGATCTGGTTAAAGCGCCGGACATTCGCTTTTCGTCCTCTCATTTTCGTAAACAACAACCCCGCCACGAGAAGGCAATGAGTAGGACTTCCCCGGCATAGGCTGTATACGCGTGACCGTGTGAGAGTATTTAGAGAGGGAGGGCGAACCCACCCCACTCTCGGCCATACGGGGGCCTTAGTGAATAAATTTTGAAGTTAGAACTACTTGAAAACATACAACCCCACAATGTAGCCTATTAATGACGTCTAAATGTGGTTAATTTCCATGGTTAATAAAACGTTATATTCAAACAGTGAAATACCGTACGATAATAATGACTGACGATGCCAAAAATTTGAGCTTACATTTCTGTAGTGCCATGAGTTTTATTGAGATTATATACCCAATTACCCCATACACGGTTGTATACTTGAAACAAAACTGAAAATTCCCCCAAAATACTTCTAAACATTAAAATCCAAATTGAATTCACCGTTCTATCATTCTAACTACATAACTGATTAGACCAGACTCTTGACCGATAGAACCTAACTAATAACACCAACTTTATCACCATCTGGTATCTATTTACAGAAGATTGACCAATAGAAAATAATTCCCCACTTAATCTCATCAGTTGTATAAACCTCATACATACAAGTCGTAAGGAAAGGACATCCTACTTAGCCTAATACTTCAATATTACAAAGAATAGACTTTCACATAAACAAACTTATATTGTCCCATGGGATTGTATTATGAGTGATTGTAATAAAGTTTGTTAAAAGACGGGAACTGTATGCAAAACAATTTTTCCAATTAAGTCACCAATAAGAGAATAAAAGAATACTCTGAAAGCTGATGAAAGGTTACATAAGTTTACTTGAGAACAACTCACTTTAGATGTCCCATAATCCTTTATAGCATCGGTCAATATATTTACCTCAAGTTTTTGTTCGATAACTAAACAGACGGCCTTGGTTATAGGAAGCAATAGTAATATACACAATTTACCCACACCTTAAATAATATTTTGATATCCGGATGGACAGGAATCTGCAATAACTTAGCCATCTTTAAAACATTTTCCTTAAACTCATCACTGTTAGCTAAGAGGATTAGAAAATATAAACAAGACTAAGCCACCATCTATGTTATTAAAAGCGTTCGTGGAAAGAGTAGGGTTCTCAGATATATTGTTGTGTTGAGTATTTCTAGCTATAAGTAAAATATAATGACATTATAGTAAAAATGATTACATGAGTTGTATTCCAATAGTAGTGCTTTGCTAAGAAGCCAATCCAACATAGCCCAAGAATTCGATTCATTAAAAGGGCACTTTACTGCCTGAAGGTACTAAATGAAATAAATTAGGGAAATGAATTGAAAGCACAAACCTTATTTAGATAGCTTGTCCATTCCAAAGATTGTACGTCACGCAATCTCGCTTCAGCAGGAAGAGCTCGAATAAGCCTATCCTCCAGCCACACGATCACATTGCGTACATTCGCCAAGTCTTTTTGTAATACTAATTAAACAAATGAATTTTATGGAGAAAACCTGAAACATCGAAAGCGTCGTACACCGGATAGTTGAGAGAATGAAGCTTGAAACGCAATCGTTCATTAGCCAGCATTGTAATAATCCGGCGGAGAAAAATACGAAAGGAATCAGATCAAGTAGTCAAAAGTCTGGTGACCTGAAAAGAGGGAAGGTAAACATGAATTGGTCAAATATATAATCGTAAGCATACAACAAATTGTTGCCTAAATTAACCACCAATTGTTTGTACAAAATAAAACTGATAAGTAACTTACGACGACAGTTGTATTCGGAGACGCTAACAAAACTAGTCTTCCAATTACCTTGAGCAACGATACAAGCATATTTCGGATATGATTCACTCCCTGAGGACGTGAAATATTGCCTCGAAACTGGTCTAATTCGATGTCTGGGTTAGTGGTATGCAGCGAAGTGGTTGAGAGGGTCGGTCACTTCACTTATCTTGAGAAGCTTATCAAACTTGGTAGATGGACGCACGATGAAAGTTTGGATTATTCAAAACTCTTGGTTAACTTTTGTCAACTTGTCACTGGTGGCGTAGACGAGATATTCGTCTATCAACCAAAGAACGAGCATATTGTAGAGCAGTTTGGTATGCTTCAATTTACGACTGCAAAGTGGTTTCCAGGAATCGAAAACGTTTATACGTTACTAGTGTTTGGCTATGGATGTCTTTGAAGCACTGTTTATGTACTTTGGGGCAACTGAGTAGGCAATTCTGATATTAGATACAGAGTGGTAGGCAGAAGCACAGTGACTGATCAAAAACTATGTTGTTAACAAATAAGGTGATTGGGACTTGTATTACGTATACTCAGCTACCACGTTGTGAAATGACGGCTAGTATATGAGTAGGCTACTAAAGCGGTTAGGAATTCAACCAAAAAAACGTGATATTGGTCCATGGGATTATCCACTTGTCATTTATAATTAAATCTTGAGCTTCAAAATCGTCTCATGCATTCTGTCTAGAGAAGTCAATCTTCTGGAAGAATACATCCTATGCTTAATCCTTTTCTACAGAATATATAAATTACGTATTTTACATATACTTCATTGGTATCTCATTTTGGCGAAACCGTACGTATTGAAGTCCATGGTGCTAATGACTGATCAAATCGTGGTGTTCTCAGCATTCAAACTACGAATTCCTAAAAATACCGATTGATTAAGTCATACGCACGGCTATTATATATATATATATATATATATATATATATATATATATATATATATATATATATATATATAGTAACATCAACAACTATAACCTGAATCCAACCTGGTATTAGTGCGAGAATATTATTATTCAGTTTCGAACTATGGAAAAATAGTCATTCGCAACACACAATTAAGACGCATTTCCTCACCGATAAGATGTAAATTCCTGACTACGTACTGTGGATATAAAGAAGTCTAATCTCAATTGGTTACTCACATGACTTACGTCTACTGAATGCAAGTAAGAACTTCTAAGTTAGTAATACAAATTGCGAGATATCTAAAACTAAAACGTGAAAATACCAGAAAAAGAAGGACGAAAGAAGTGAAGTGGCGCACCTTTTAGTTTGTTGCATTCAATATCAAATGAGGAATACTATAGTCAAGCTATATTAACAACTAGCTTAACTCCCTCGATCCATGCTGTAGTTATCTTTATGTTGAAACCACACTAGAAATATGTATTCTAACAAATACTTACAGCTCCCATAGACACTTTAAACTTCTCTTGGATTTGCAGAGTCAACGCCACCAGATTATCTCTCAAAATACTGTATCTCTAATGTAGAAGACTGATCACAAAATTCAGAGTATTTGGGGCCAGGTCAATACCAACGAAGACGTATTGTGTTGCTTAATTAGCACTATATCCTTGTCGCATTGTAAGATTTGTATTAACCAATGATTCCTTTGTACTTGACTGTGAATTTATTAGGAATTAAAAATATAATACGTTTATTTGTGCCCATCTAGTTTTATCTGCCTTAAAGAGTGCTATTTCGTGGATTCGTAGTTAGTATGTTAATTTGCATACTTCTAAATTCCATGCGTGTGCTACAGGAAGATCACGTAATCTGAACTCTAGCTGTTGTCGAAATCTCTGTTGTATTGATAGTACTGCTTTACTTGTGCAGACTGAAATTTAATTATTTGATACACATACGTCGATTATGTATCTTCGTCTTACGTCCTGCCAACTGAAGTATGTGTATTATAGCTGTTTAGAGTAGCGAGAAGAATATCAAATATAAGTATTGAAGATGCCACAGGTATTTGGGATTTAAAAACGCTTCAACCAATAACACCTTTTACTACGAATTGCACCCACCAAGTGAAATCAAAAGACAGAAGCGATCAATAAGCTATCAATATATCGAGGATCGACTGATCTAATCTGGTTAGCTATTGCAAAGGAAGTTGAGCACGACCTTTCCACTCGTGATCTGATGCAGATGCATGACCAAGCAACTTCAGTTAGGCGAGTTTATTATGTGGCCAGCATCCAATGTCGAAGATTTACAGAGCTATTTATTTTGGGGATCTATTTACCGCTACAGACCACTCCCTGCTAGTGGGGTGGTGATGACCAGCCAGAAGTTTAAAACCAACGAGTTTTTCGTTGGTAAACACTCTTCTGATAGCTTGGTAGGTTAGCAGCGTATGGTCGTCTTTACTAACTATAAGAGACCATGAAGTACAATATAATAAAAAAACGTATAATGAAGATTTCAGTTTCTCGCAAACCTCATCGTTCTTTTTATCGTCTTTTCTAGCCGTCCTGGAAAAGAAAAAATATGTAAGTGCATGTCGAAATACACTCGTACATGCGAGAAAACACAAAGCGGGCCAAAAATGGGATATAACCCACGTAATAGCGTTAATAAAGGACTTTAATAACGTGGTTTTTTCGTTTTGCTTTTTTGAAATAAAAAATAAAAGTATATAAGCATATTAAATTTGAAAAAAAAACTATATATAGTACAAGGGAAAATCGAGACGATATAAAATGTAAACTTGTATCTTGCGTTCAATAATCGTTCAAATGTTCTGGAAATCTTAATTTTTTTCAAGAACGCGTTGTTTTAAGTTTTTTTTCTGATACCACCGAAGTATCATCATGTGTGTTGGCTGTCGATTGAGGTATTACGAGTGCAGGAGCCGTGTCGTGAGATTGTATTGAAGGAAAATCGACGTGAATAGGATTTTTTTCCCAATACGCTGCTTTGAGGCGATCGATGCTGATGCTTTCGTTGGTTCCGTTCTTATCGATTATATAATACTTAGGTTCGCGCTGAAAAACTTTGAAAAGTCCTTCGTATGCTGGTCGTCGATGTGAGTCTCGAAGTACGAAGACGTGTGTACTCTATCGTAAGTCAGGTTGAACAGAAACATCGGTTGATTGTGGTCGAATGGAAACAGGTTTAACTGAACGCATTCCGTTTGTAAGCCTGTTCGCGTAGGAGGTTAGATCCATGTCCATCGAAGAGGATGAAGGATCCAGGAACTCTTCTGGAAGTCGAAGGGTCGTACCATAAACGAGTTGAGACGAAGTGTATCGAATGTCAGCTTTCACTGCATTGCGAATACCTAGTAAGACGAGTGGAAGAGAGTCAATCCACTGAGAAATGTTTGCGGCTGATAGTGACGCTTTAGTTGTCGGTGAAAACGTTCTACTAACCAGTTTGCTTGTGGGTAGTAGGCCGTCGTTCGGGAGCGAGTGATTCCTAATATTACAGTCAGACAACGGAAACGTTCAGATTCGAACTGGCGTCCACGATCTGTAGTGATTGTTATTGGGCAGCCACTGTTTCAGGGGTAATGTCCTTGGCGGGTACTGCTTCTGGTCATCAAGTAAAACGGTCTACGCATGTTAAAAGATAAGAATATCCATTTGAATCCGGTAAAGGTTCTACAAAATCCAAATGAACATGGTCGAAACGAGCATTGGGAGTTTCAAACGAGCCTGAGGGACAATTGTTATGCCTAATAACCTTAGATTTCTGGCAGCTTACACAGGAGCGTGCCAACTCCCTCACGTCTTTATTCATACCAGGCCAGCAAAACCGTTCTGCTATAAGCTTGATGGTTGCACGAACACCTGGATGAGAAAGTCTGTGCAACGCATTGAAGACGTTGCGTCGATAATGTTTCGACACGATTGGGCGATCCCTACCTGTAGATGTGTCACAAAGTAAGGTTTCCTAACCTGTTCCCATCTGTTTAATGCGCAGTTTAAGTGTTGTTGAGGCCAACTCGTGCTGAAGATCACTGTCTTCTTTTTGAAGTTGGGCGAGTTTTAAAAGGTCGATTCCTTGGGAACTGTTCAAGGAATTTATGCGGGACAAGGCGTCTGCAACTACATTGTTTGCTTCAGAAATGTGTCGAATATCTGAAGTAAACTGCGAAATGTAGTCCAATTATCGAAACTCATGTGATGAATACTTGTCTGAAGATGAGCTTAAAGAGAAAGTAAGAGGTTTATTGTTGATAAAAAGAGTGAATTCTCGGCCTTCACTAGAGTGTTGAAAACGCCGTACAGCATAATACATAGGTAGGAGTTCCCTACCGAATGTGCTATATCTCCATTCAGTGTCTAGCAACCCTCTAGAGAAAAATGCCAAAGGTTGCCAGGAGTGGTTAACCCACTGTTGTAAGCCTCCTCCGATTGCTGAGTCGGATGCGTCTACTGCGATGCTAATGGGCGCTTTAGGGTCCTGATGAGCAAGCATTGCTGCTCGGGCGATATGTTCCTTAACCGTGGAGAATGCTTTTCGGGTAGTGTCATCTAGATTAATGGATTTCGCATTTCCACGAAGTTTGTCGGTAAGGGGTTTCATAAGTAACGCGCATTTCGTTATGAATCGTCTATAAAAACTTACCAGACCGTTAAACGTGCGCAATTGCTTGATGGTGGTCGGTTCAGGGTAATCCAGAATGGCCGCCACTTTTGTTCTAAGGGGTCGAATGCCATGCGCATCTATGGTGTGTCCTAAGAAGTCTAAGGATTTGGTTCCGATTTGGCATTTCTGAATGTTTGCGATAATGCCATGTTTTTGTAGTCGGTCGAAAACAAGGTCCAGATGCTGGAGATGTGATTCTCTGTCCGGACTTGCTATTGGGCAGTCATCAACATACGCATGTACGAAGTTGAGACCTGGAAAAACGTCGTCTATGAACCTTTGGAAGGTTTGTGCCGCGTTTCTTAGACCGAAAGGTATTCGCAAAAATTCATAGAGTCCGAAGGGCGTTATAATAGCGGTTTTTGGAATGTCGTCAGTGGCCATAGGAATTTGGTTATACACTTTAACCAAGTCGATTTTCGAAAAGACAGTTGTACCTTTCGAGGTAGCTGTCAAATCGTGAATGTGAGACAACGGGTAACGATCAGGAATGGTTTTCGCATTCAATCGCCGATAATCACCAGTTGCTGTCCATTTTAGAGACAATGTACAACGGGGATGCCCATGTGCTGTTTGACGGTCGTATGATTCCTAAGTCTATCATATGGTCAAATTCGTTTTTCGCCAACCTTAACTCTTCGGGGGACAGTCGGCGTGCTTTAGAGAATACAGGTGGTCCTGTAGTCGTGATGTGATGTGTAACGTTGCCGGTTACACACGGCAAGTTCGGTTGCGGTTGGTAAATGCCGGAATACTTATCGAGTATTGGTTGGTAGAAGGGGTCTGTAGTGTGCTTAATAAAGACTGGAGATAACCTGCAACCAGAAAAAGAAGTAACACAAACAGATAAATTAGTATTTCCGTCTACTAGCCTCCGTTTGCGCGTACCAATGACAAAGTTGTGGTGCTGTAGAAGGTTCATATCAATGATTGGCATAGAAACATCGGCAATAACAAAGATCCAGTGAATGGGTTTGCGTAAACCCACGTTGAGATAAACATAACTTTTTCCATACGTAGCGATAGGCTTTCCGTTTGCACCTGTAGATTTAAAACCGACTCGTGAAGCCGGTCGTTGAACTCCGCTGGGAGAACGCTAACCTCTGCACCAGTATCGACAAGGTAGCGAACTCTTGTTCTCACATCTGTGACGTATAACAGACGGCTGTTAGCCGGCTACGACTGCCGTTAACGCGTGCCGGCTTGGGAGTTTCCCGAACCATTTTTCGTGTCCACCGATTTTGAGTTGGGAAAATTGCAGGGTTTTCTGTAATTTTTGGAGGATTTTCCATACTGGTTATGATACCAGCACCAGTCGGGTTTATCCGTCTCTCGAGTTCTAGTGACAGATCGCCTACGTGATGTGCTTCTTCGCGGGCTGTGATCAAAAGACAGAAGCGAGGAGGTTCGAAGATATGTTTGATAGGCTATCAATATATCGAGGACCGTCTGATCTAATCTGGCTAGCGATTGCGGTAGATGTTGAGCACGGCGTTCCCACACGTGATCTGGTGCGGATGCATGCCCGAGCGCCTTCAGTTAGATGAGTCCATTAAAACTAATGTGGTCAGCATCCAATGTCGAAAACTTACAGAGCTATTTATTTTGGGGATTTATTTACCGCTACAACGCCATAGATTGGCCCCTGTGGTGGTTGTCGCACTAGTCTCTCTGAAACGATTCTTACTACTGATAAAGTCCTTTTTGTTATACTGTCTTCAAAGCAGTCCTGGTACATTGATACGTCGGAGGGGCAATCCATGTTAGATTCTGACAGCGAGGTGTGACTTCGAAGTTAGCTGGTTCGTTACACTTCCCGTGTAACTAGAGTAGGCCTCCGATCATTCGATATAGATCACTTACGTTAATTATTTGCACTGGTAAGTAAGACTTCGAATAACGCAATCCTTCATTGTAATTTCTATTATTACACTATATACTTGTTCTTTTTCGTTTATTCTCATCATTTACTTTGAAAATTCACTGCTTCATACCAATGTTTGTCAGTATTTAAACTGAGCTAGTTGGTTCAAACGATAAAACTCAGACTACGCTTCTAATCAGCTATCGCGTTTCTTTAACAAACATTAGCAGCATGTAAATGTCTCTGTGTAATATGTCCGTTAAAATATCAATCACTCGTAAGTATAGCCACAAGGCAATGTGAACGCACATCTGTTTGTATCTTATCCACTTGTATATGAGAGAAAAAATAACTGTCGATTGTGAATTTATCTTTCTGCTTAATCAATATCAATTATCTTCCGTAAGAAACTATCTAATAGAATGTTTTAGTCACTTGAAAACTGCCCGACTAATTTTCAATTGCTGAGTTCCGTCGTCAAACAGAAGTGAGTTTGAACTATAAATTTCCTGCAATCTTAGTTCTCGTTTAAACAGTTCGTCAGGAAATGCTACGTATTTGACTTAGATTATTTTTGGACTTATACAAGTTCAGTCTATGACCCTGCGCTAAACTAATAATTAAATCAACAATGCCTGATATGTAACCCAGATTCAAATGAAAACTTTATCGCCTTTATACACACTGACGTTTCGTACCAGTCTTGTTGACATGAGTACATGGTGATACTCTTGTTTTCTTATGTTTTCTCGGTTCAGTTATTGAGCTTATATACAAGCACTAGCCGTTTTTTATCCTGTAAAGATATCGTGCCACTTTCACTGTTGATCTGTGGTCTACGACACTTACTGATTGTTGTTAATCGCTTTATATTCAACCAACGTCTTAGTCAGTTACTTTTACTTGCTATTTCTCGATCAGTTGCTGCTGCCTCCTTCCAATTTGTCATGAAGCCTAGCAAGACCCGGAGGACTCTTACTCACTGATTGACAACCTCCGGTCCTCCATTACTCCCAATGTGTCTGGTATAAATTCAGAGGCCGTTGAATCTGGTATTGTAGGGACTGTGAAATGACACTGAGGCCTAGTCAAGTCATTCGCCAGTTGGGTCTCTGAGTGTCAAACAGTTAAACCATCCTCGTCAGGGTCAAGAGCAACCAACGCGTAACAATCAATTGCACGTCATGGACTGACCCCTGCAGTGGTGGTCGCAATACAGCTCCGTACTGTTTACTTCAATTACTGGTCTTCCGACATTTTAGCAAAATCTTTACCGATTGAGACAGCAATTATTGGATGCAAGCAACTGAAGTAGCCGACCGTTTACAAACCTTTGTGTTCTCAGTGATCATCCATTCGTTTACTATCTTAGCAGCAAATAGAAGGGCTTTTAAAACTGTATGTTGTAATCCAAAATACCAATCTTCCTGATAGCATTCGGGTTATTTTTCTCCGTTTTATTATTAGAAATATACTTTTTCCTGGTAACATATTGGTTGTTCCTTAACTGTATTTAGGGTTATGTAACATAGAAACTAACATAAGGTGGGCTAGATTATGAACATATTCAATAATAAGGATATAGTATGAATTAGGTGACCTAAGTGCTTGCATCACTTTAGCTCAACATTTGTAGACGTTATGTAACGACCAAACTTCCAGTATTCGGTTTGAACGCAGGACTGAGGAATCAAAATGTGTTCGAATAGGCCAGACTACGCCCTTCTGCATAGCCCACCAAGCGTTTTTTAGACACTCGTATTAAATTGTATCAAAACACAGACTTTGTGCTCAATTTAAACGGTTCTAATTTAGGAAATAGAACAAATTATATCAAATATACAAAATACCTCAAACGGTACAGCCTGTGCTACACAGTCAGAAGTTTCTCTAACGCAAAGTAGCACGCTAAATAATAAAAGAAACAGTTAATACCAAAGGGTTCGATACCTGAGGACCAACAAAAATATTCTCAACAAAATGGGATCACATATCTATCTGCAGGGATTCCAGCAATCCTTCCAAGCAGACAGTCAAAGGGTTAACGATCACACACTGAATCACGCCGTGACCTTGAGCCTAGTCACACACGACCTTACTGTCAATAGTCCGGCAACATGCAATAAAAAATTAGGTAATAAAAAAGAAGTCTTTAATCAAAATCACGTAATAAAAGCTCGGAAGAGGAAGACTGAAGAAGAAAAGGTGTGGTAAACGAGATCTAAACAAAGGTTAAAATACATGACAGGGAGAAGAAACATAAATGACAGTACCGTCCAACAAAAAGCTGCGCAGGGATTTTCATCGTTCTCTTTCAATTACACTTTAACTATCAGACGATGGTTATACTTTAGTTTATGAAACCAGTGGCAGTTGTGTGTCCACACACTTTGTAGTAAAATTAAGTAACGTATCATAATTCATTAGATCTAACATGTTCTACCTAGATACAAACCAAATTGGTTTATGGGCTTCGTCATTAATGGAATGATATAAACTGTACCTACGGAGCAAAAGACTCACGAAAACAAAGAAAAACGGAAGAACCCAGAAAATTGAAGTAATGAAAATCGAATCAGAAGAGTATAAATCAACTAAAAGATTCATTTGTGATTGGTGAAGAGCTCTGTTCTGTTGAAGAAGTATGAATGAGTTATAAACAAATAATGACTCTATTTACAGTGAGGTGATCCAGACGCTTCGTTCGAACTCACATCATCACGCATGAAGTTGTGTGCCAGTTACGTTTTCCGTCAACCACTTACAAACATAACCAATGTTATTGGTAAGTGAGGTTAGTTGGAAATCGAGTGAAATGAGTCAGTTGAATCACGCATACAGAAACAATGGAAGTTTACAATGATCAAAAGATACCGTGAACAAATCAACATCGATAAATATTTCGTTGAATGTGTAGTATTTCTCGAAAGTTTGGCTTTACAGTGTTAATCATAATGTTTGTTTATCATCGAAATATAGCTTATTCAGAAGGTCAGTCGATGGCAATAAGAATTGATCTAAAGTACATTTATATTTCATTGGCTAAGAAATGTGTCAATTTACTAAGGATCAGAGTTATCTAAATATCAATGAGTATTTGTTCATTTCATTTGATAGTCTAATACACTTTGTCGCTCAAGCAGTTATTTGGGAGGATAGTACGTAGGACACTGTGCATTTGTATCAGATTGTGGATACTAGCCATCATATCATTACATCACCTTGATATCTCTATGAGAATGTAAGTCATCGTTAAATGTCAGTTTGTATGATCTCGCGAATGCGAGAATAGTGAAATATGAACATGTCCTGATGAGCTGCAGTAGAGTCGATTAGCAATGAGTGGATTCGAATTTAAATACGTAGAGTTCCCGCTCACAGGATAATAATAGTCAAGTCGTGAAATGATAACTGCATCGACGGGTGATATTCGTTGATGTACTGAAATTGATAATACTCATAAAATATGAGGTCAATGTAAGTTGTTGTTTGCATTATGACAAATGCATCGAGTTGTCGTTAAATATGTATTAGTAAAATGATCAGAGGAACAGAATAGTAGACAAGGTACGTAGAGTCGTATTCCTTTTTGGTCGTGAAGCCGCGAGTGGTTTAAAGGAGATGGGCTCTACCTCGTTTGTTACAAAACCTTACTACGGCATGATAAAAATACCAATACCTATTATTAGCGATGGCAGCGTATGAGACTGACTCGGATGAGACGAACAAAAGTGTATCTTTGAGAGACCAGCTCTAAACTCTATGTTCTGGTTTACAGTGCATCGGGAATAGTATATTAATTTCAGTAATTGAATGTTTTCGGGTAATGAATGATGCGGCAATTGGTTGTACATGTGGACGAATAGATAAGATGAAAGTAATCGATTCTAATCAGCTAGTAGATTTAGAGGCATCCACAGACATAATAGGAGATTTCGAAATGAAAAATGTATGGTATGAGGGCATAAAATATGACCTCGACTAAGTGAATGGGTGTAATATTGGGCCAAAAATGACAAAAAATTGAGACGAACTCACTTAGAGCAGGGAAATTTTGCGTTATTGAATAATAAGATATAGTCCAGTGAGTTTCGAATGTCATAACATGGAGTGTTCATAAAATGATAATTTGTTCGGTATGGTATGACTGCGTAAATGCCATAATTTGATGTCAGCACGAACAAAAGTAATAATTCCACATTCGGTCATGATATGACAATAATGTTAATATAAGCATATGATGATAATTTGAATCATAATGAAACTACCCGACGAATGGATCAATCAAATTAGTTGACATGAAGACAAAGTATCGATAAGATAATACGATTTATGCACGTCCATGTCGTGCTGCACAAACTTTGCTGAGTGCGTCAGATTAGAGATTGAGCTGGATCCGTTGAGTTTTTTCGTCGAATGTACCAAGTACAGAAGTTTTTTCATCGACGCAGCTCGTTGTGTTAGGTTCGTCGTCTGAGGGTTCACCACTTTTGTGGGACCCTTTATTTTGTCATTTATATCGGGCGATGTTGTCGAAGGGCTCTCCACTTTAGTGGCCCGAGATCTGACTACAAGTCGATATTATGAATGTTTGTTGTCGAAATATATACGTCGCCTATCCTCGTATATAATCATCGACTTAAATTGCGTTAGTCGATAACGGAATTAAATAAGTCAAATATGAGAATGGACTTTTGAACACATATATTTAGTATATAAAGCGAATGGAAAAGAGTGAAGCGAAACGACGCGCAGTGGGGAAGGTATGTGAGCCAACTCCTATTTAACCAAGCGTTAATTAATATTTATAGTTACACAAAAATAAGTTACAGACATGTGATGAATAGGATAAGAAGTGCACACACACATACGCCCATATGAAAGCAGTCAAGATTGATAAGCGAATAATTAATAAGGTTAAAATATGACTCAAGTAGAATGAATAGGTTGGCCTGTCCGAATTGTAGAATAAGGCCTATGGGCTTAACGAAATAACCGACACTACAAGTACTTTAGCTAGACCTTATCATTCTTCAATAATGTACAGGAAAGCTTAAACTGTCAATGGACTCAGTCACAACACATCATATAACATTACTCAGCAAAGGAAATCCACATCGAACTATGCAAACGTTCACGTCACCTAATAGTGCCATCTATGTACTTTCTTGTACCAGTCATAGTTTTCGGACAGTATAACTGGAATGATGTCTTTTCTGAAAGTTAATAACAAATTAGAAGACAGAAGAGATCATTTATTATACATTACGTATAAAAGCATATATCATTCATAGATAATTTTTGAAAAGTACGTGTAACCATTCTAAGAAAATTTTACAGACCATATATAATGACGGTTAATGGAGGGAGCACGTACAACAAAAATCAATGGAAATTATCAGTTAAATAATATAAATAAATAAACGAACAAATATTCATGTGTTTTTTGTTTAGATAAGCACAAAAAATAATTGTGGCAGATAACCGGAAGGATATTAACAATGTTGTGTTAAAATTTAGAAGTTACTGTCTAACGATTATTTGGATTGTGATGACGAACATGACGAAGTATATCCTTTTTGGTCAATACACCAAGAGGACATCTAGATCGAGGGAGAAACACAAAAACAATCATATTAAAATACGATTCAAAACAAATAGCGTATATACGTATGGAATTTATTGAACGACTAGTCAGGTAACTCAGCTTTTCACCATACTTCAACTGACCATTAAATATACTTACCTCCTGCAAAAACTGTAATCCAAATGCTCTTAAGTGATATATTCATGTTCGAAGACACCCAACCAGGAAAAATTGTTTAACGTCACAGAACAAGCTATGAGTCTCAAAATGAACGAATTTTATTTACTGATAATAGGTTTTATTTAGTTTATTTGCATTTTCACTGATAACGTAAAAGTGCATGTATGGAAATTCACAATAATCAAAACTTCATTTACATATTACATTCAAACTAATAGTTTTTAAGTAATACTCAATAACTTGAAAATAGTTTTCAATATAGAGTAATACCATAATGAGATGGTTAACGAAAGGCAATCCCAATACGTTGGAAGTAACTGTCAAGATTGGTGAGTGGATTCAGATAGTACACCGAATATGAAACTATCTAGATTCGGATTCATTATTTATGACTGATTATTCAACAGCGGTTCCGACCGTACCTGCTATTTTGATGTGGTGGTCGGGCTTTCCTGTCGTGATGAACCCATCAAGCTATATTGGCTGGGACATACGGGATTCGAATAGCGTCATTCATTTGACCTCACCATATGAAAAAAGCCATCTCAATTCACTCTTCGTGCATCTGGAAGCCGTGATGCTACTTCCCGTGACTTTGTTGGTGTAGGTGTAGCATTGAGTCCGAGGGTAGAACTAACTCTCTCAGACTGGATTCCAGTAGACAGTTGTTTCTGTGCTGTACGACCAGACGGAACGGTAAGTACTCGGAAAGATAGTGACACTCGTCGTTGCCTCTTCGTCGTCTCTGACTACTCTCTCACTGACTGCAGAGCAGATAATGTAAAAGATGAGTTTTACAGAAAACTTTCCAACCTTCTCCAAAAATTTAGGCTCCCTGATGCAGTAATAGCGGATGGTGACTTTAATACTCAAGTAGGTAAACTAAGTGAAAAGGAAAGATACCTGGGTGGATCTTGTGGTGTCGTGGCTCAAAGAACGGATAATGGCGAACGTCTGTTGCAGTTGTGCTCAGATAACCGCTTGTTTCTAGCAAATATTAACTTTAAGCACAAGGAAAAACATCTTTTGACATGGCGACCCCCTAATTCGTCTCAACGTCGGATCCGAATAGATCACATCGCTATCAGCCACCGGAGGGGCTCGATAGAAGACTGTCGCTAGTTTCGTAGCAGATGTTTGGATCCAGATCATGCTCTAGTGTGAGCGCGCACTTGTCTGCGTCATACTAAACGTGAGAAAGTCGCTGCAAGGAAACCTCTTAGGGTCCTACTTATTGATAACCAAGCTAAGAATATATTTCAGGAACAACTAGAAAAACAGTTAAGCAGCCATGTAAGTGATGCCTACTCTGGGGCAGAGTGCATTGATATCCGAAAAGCTGTGGAAACAGCAGTGATATCTACTAGTAAGATAAACCATAAGGTTACGGAGAAACACTAGATCTCAGAAGCATCTACCGCGCTGATAGATGCTCGAAAACTCACTCCATCTGGCTCTGAACATGACGAAGAGCGGAGTCAGCTTAAGCGCAGGCAGATAAGAAGTCTACGCAATGATCACGATGAGTGGTGGGTAGCGAAAGCAAGAGAGATGGAAAGAGCAGTGGCAACAGACAGAAGCAAACAACTGCTCAGACTTGTTAAGGAAACCGGTATTAGGAATCCAACTGTTAGAGAAATTATCTCGGAAACAGATGAACATATTATTGATTCTCAATCCAGGAGATTGGATCGATGGGCAGAACACTTTAGGGATCAGTTCAACTGGCCTTCAGCCACACTTCGGTTTCCCACGATCTCCAGTCGACCTGGATGGCAAGTTAATGTAAGTCCCCCAACTCTTTACGAGGTTGAAAAAACTATAGGAAATCTGAAGCATGGGATAGCAGCATGGCCTGACAGGTTTACCCCTGAGGTTTTTAAGGATGGCGGTCTAGTATTAGCAGTAAGATTGACTGAGGTCTTAGGTAGAATTTGTGAACTGGACGTAATCCTATCTGAATGGTCTCAATCACTGATTGTGCCAGTCTATAAGAAAGGACAATCACAGAGGAATCAGTTTGACTAATATAGTGTCTAAAATATTAGCTTTAATAACACTTTGACGCCTAACCAAAGCTCGTAAAGAGCAGACTACAGAAAATGAGGTTGGTTTTCGACCTAGACGTGGTTGTGTAAACTCGATATATACAGGTTCTAAAACATAGACACACATTCAGATGCCCCACAATAGTCGTATTCCTCGAATTTAACGCTGCATTTGACTCTGATCATGAGGTTCTGTGGCGGTGTCTGTCATTGAAAGGCGTACCTCAGAAGTACATCAACCTTATAAAGGCTCTCTACTCGAACACAACTGGTCGAGTGAGAGCCTACGGCGAACTGTCACCAGAACTGATTACCTCAAGTAGTGTTCGTCAGGGCTGTCCACTCTCTCCATTCTTGTTTAACTTTGTCGTTGATGTGCTTTTAGAAATAACACTTTCCACATCTGACTTTCCAGGGGTTGAACTTCTACCGGGAAATTCACTTATTGACTTAGAGTATGCCGATGACATAGTTCTATTTGGTGAAGACGCTGACAAAATGCAGAGTCTGCTGACCACTCTAAGCAACAATGCAGGCATGTTCGGGATGCGATTTTCTCCTTCGAAATGTAAAATGTTGCTTCAGGATTGGGTTGCACCGCCACCCGAACTAGTGGTAGGGAGTGAAGTAGTTGAGCGTGTCGACCGATTCACTTATCTCGGAAGTCTCATCAGCCCTTGTGGTCCGGTGTTTGACGAAATCTCAGCACGGATACAAAAGGCTCGACTAGCTTTTGCCAACCCGCGTTATTTATTGCGTAGACGAGATATACGTCTACCAACCGAAGGACAGCTTTACTGTGCAGCAGTTCGTTTCGTCCTACTTTATGGCAGTGAAACATGGCCGGCAAGAGTAGAGGATATTCGTTGGTTACTAGTATTCAATCATAGATGTCTTCGAAACATTGCTCGTATATCCTGGGACCACTGAGTAAGTAACTCAGTTGTTAGGAAACGGGTACTAGGTGAGGATGGCAAGTCAACTGATGAAGTAGTGAAACGTCGTCAGTTGAGATGGCTGGGAAATGTGTTACATATGCCCGACCACCGACTACTCCGACGTGCAATGTTTTATGGTGTAGGAGTAGGTTGGAAGAAAGCTAGGGACGGCCAGACCAAAACATGGCACAAATCCATGAAGTCACTGACAAGTGGACTGAGTCATGATGGTAGCAATAGACTACCTGGTTGGGGTCCGCGAGACGATAGCAACCGACGGTTAGAGACCTTGAATGAGAAGGCTCAAAATCGTTTGCAATGGCGCAGGTGCATCCATTCTTTGTGTTCTCTCAAACTCTAATCTTCTGAATTCTTCATATCCTTTATTTTCTTTCCGAATCTATTCCACTGGATTATACTCCTTAAATAACATCATCAAACCCTAATGTTCCTTACCACTACTTATATTTTCACTACCTCTACCACTATGGGATTTGAATTGACAATTGTATCTCTGTGCTAATGTGGTATGGCAACTCGAACTGATGTACGTACGTATGAAGTTCTACGTTGTTGCTGACTGACTGATCTAACAGCGGTAACATAGCGTAATATGGAAAATGAATAAATCAATCCACTAAACTGAGACTGTCGAGACGATCATCGAGAAGCACGATGCAGCCTCCAGATGCCTTAACGGAGCCGAAGAGTTTCCACATAATCAGAACCTAGTGGAGCTTTCTAGAATATTAACGCGTGATGCTACGATTGATGGTAGCATAGCTTACCTCCCTGAGGATTGGCTGAATTATAATGTCATAAATATCGACAATAACTATAAATAAACATATATTTATGTATAATTCTTATTCTTACCCTATTAACACTTCACCTGTCTTCTGATTTTGGGACTGCGAGTGCCGTTAGTTGTATATCGTATACTGCGTTAATCAAGTAGAGGGTGTAACACTTGACCATAACTTAGGTAACTATAATAAAAGTTAATGTCAAATGAAATTCGCTCTCGCGTCGTGGACAACTACAGTCAGTCAGCTACAACGTAAGACCAGGCATATATGCATCGGTCTAAGTTGCCACACCTCATTGGCACAACAAGCAGAACACCGAATTCATAGCAATAGTTACTTCAATGGTGGTAATATATAAAAGAAAAATAGCATATAAGGATATAATACAGGGAGAACGAATTAGTTCGTAGTAAGGAAGGTAAAAACAGTTTTAATTTGAAGGTTAAAGGGAAGACAAAGAGTGTATACACCTACACCAATGTGACCGATTCTGAGCCATGTCACCGACCATTGGTTACGATAGTCACGCAAACCCCAACCAAATGGTATGCATCTACCAACATGCTTTACTCCAGAGGTAAGTGACTGTATGGACTGATACCACGTTTTGATCTGAATGGCCCAGACTTTCTTTCATCCATCTCCAACACTAGTCAGCATCATACATCGTGGCAAGGCAGGCGTGATACGTAGTCCAACAATCTCAGTCGATGAAGATTCGCAACCTCACCAACTGATTTACCATCATTCCCTAATACCCTGTGTCTAACTGTAGAACACCTACAGTGTCACCGTCGGAGAAAACCAACAGTTATTCAAAAGTAAACTAATGTAAATAGCGCGTTCGGTGAACTGAACAAAATAAGTATTCCTATTTTATAACAGAGGTGAAGAATTTTACTGACACAAAATGCAACAAACTAAGTAGATATAAATAGTAGAAACGATAATAAAGATAATTAGACAATTTATTCCAAGTCTACCACTACTACTGAATAAAGTATTTAACAACTATTAAAAAACTGACTACACTTAGTAAACTAAATAAAAACGTTTACTTACCCATTACGTGTAACAATGATTTGTCGGAGGCCTAACTTTTTAAAGAAATCCAAAACTGTTTCCATTGGTGTATGATCCGATACCGTTGTAGGAGACTAAATGGTAAATTTTAAAAGAAAATATTTCAGTTAAGAAACAGAAACTACCAATAAGAGTAAGTTAGGATACAATTAAACAGTTTGAAATTAGAATAAGTTACAAATGATACACACCCTCTAGACCGAAAAACCAAAAGTAAAAAAACAAAAAACAATTTGTACATGAGGTTTACCGTAGACAATTAATCACAATTGAAGCATGTGTGTATTTCTACAGGTAGTGATACATAGAACCGCGATCGTTTTTAGTTAAGTCAATACATTATTGACTTTTCATAGTCGGTCCACGCTGGCAATCAATTTACTAGCTTATCTCATAGTTTCTTAAACCGTGGCTGTTTAGCTTGATACAATGTACAAGACATTAGAAAAGGAGAAATATGGCGGTGGGATCTTGTATAGCAAGACAAGAGTCAGAATTAATTATGGAGATACTTGATCAGTTAGTCAGCTGTAACGTAGGACCAGGCACTTATATGCATCGACCCAAGTTGCAATACCGCATTAGCACAACAAGATGAACACCGGATTCATAGAAGTGGTTAACTCAGTGGTGGTAATATATAAAAGAAAGATTGCATATAAGGATATAATACAGGAAGAATAAATTAGTTTGTAGAAAGAAAGATATGAAGTGATTTTAATCTCATAGTTTAAGGGAAGATAAAGAGTGTACACACCTACACGAATATCTTCTACTCTTGATGGCCACGTTTCACACCAATAAAGTAAAGCAGAACGAACTGCTGCGCAGTATACTCGTCATTTAATTGATAGACGATATATCGCCTTCATCATAGGTGACGTAAGTTGGCAAAAGCCAAACGAGCCTTCTGAATTCGTGCTGAGATTTCGTCACACACCAACCCATTTGGGCTGACCAGTCTTCCAAGATAAGTGAAGTTGTCAACGTGTCCGACTACGTCACTCTCTATCCTTAGTTCAGATGTTGACGCAGGCCAGTCCTGGAGCAACAACTTGTATCTAGAGAGGGAGCGGAGCATCCCAAACATTCTGGCATTGTTGCTCGGTGCTACCAAAAAACTCTGCATTTCATCAGCGTCTTCACCAAACAGGATTATATCATCTGCGTATTCTAATTCCATAAGTTGACCTCTTGGTAGGATATCAATTACCCGAAATTCAGTCGACGAGAGCATTATTTCCATCAGTAGGCATATGATAAAGTTAAACAAAAGTGGAGAAAGTGGACAGCCTTGACAGACACCACTTGAGGTTGCAAAAGCAGGTGACAGTTCGTCATAAGCTCTCACTCAACTGGTACTATTCCAGTAAAGAGCCTTCACAAGGTTTATGAACTTCCGAGGTACGCATTTCAATAACAAACACTACCACAGAACCTCTCGGTATACGGAGTCAAATGCTACTTTTAAGTCAAGAAAGATCATCATTGTCGGACACCGATAAACATGCCTATGTTCTAGAACCTGACAAATCGTGAATATGTGGTCGATGCAGCCATGACCGGGTCTGAAGCCAGTTCATGAGTCTTTCTTAGACATCTGATAATTATTGAGGCTAGTATTTTAGATGCTATATTAGTTAAACTAATCGCTCTATGGTTATCACACGATGCTTTTGACCCCTTCCTATATATTGGGACAATCAGTGGTTGCGACCAGTCACATGGGACTATATTCAGTTCTCAGATTTTTGTTAAAATATTAGTCAACCTAATCTATAAAACTAGACCACCATCCCTAAAGAAATATAAAGTTAATCCATCTGGACCAGCTGCTCTTCCTCTTTTCAGATTAACTACAGCTATTTAAACTTCAGATAGAGTCCGAGGACCTACTTCAATGTTACATTCATGCTGTCTGTGAATGTTGGGTAGTTGTAGAATAGACGAAGGCCACAGAATTGCTCCTTAAAATGTTCCGTCGAGAGAGATGATAAAAGTGTTGTCTTTTTCCAAAATAGTCTCACTTACGATTGACTTATTAATTCCAGTTTATTTTATTAGTCAGAAAAGCAGTCTGGTGTTACCTACAGTCGCCGCCTTTTCTATCTCTTTTGCTTCCGTTGCCCACCACTGTTCACGATCATTCCGTAGACTCTTGGTTAGCATACATCTAATTTATTTCCATTGTCCATTATGTTCAGAGCCTAATGGCATAAGTTTACGAGAGTCTATCAGTGCAATAGATGTTGCAGAAGTCCATTGGTTTTTCATAACCCTTTGGTTCAAATCACTAATGGATGTCACTGTTGTTTCCACAGCTGTTCGTAAATCTTTCCAAGCAACATCTAGGTCAGCTTCGTTTTCGAAATTGCATAAGTATGACTTCAGTTGTTCCTGGAATCTACTCTTGGCTTTCTCGCCAATGAGTTCAATTCTAACGGGTCTTCTTAATGTGACTTCTCTGTGTCCAGTGAGGTGCAGGAAAATGTGCGCTCGTATTACGGCATCATCAGAGTCTAAAAGTTTATTCCAGAACGAGCCACAGTCTTCTATCGAGCCTCTCCAACGATGGCTGACGGCAATAGGCTCTATTTGAGTCCATCGTAGGTTTGGTGCAGTGGGTCTCCATGTTAGACGATGTCTCTCCTTATGCTTAAAATTAGTGCTTGTTAACAACAAACGATTGTCTGGGCACGGTTGCAACAGACGATCACCATTATCTGTTCGCTGAGACAGAATACAAAAATACCCACATATATGTCTTTCCATTTGGTTTAAGCTACCCACTTGGGCATTAAAGTCATCTGCTACAAGTACTATGTCTGAACGTTTAGCTTTTTGAGAAAGTTTAGAGAGCTCTCTGTAAAATCCAGCATTCACTGCATCTGAGCTGCAGTCAGTGGGAGCAAAGACAGAAACGACGAAAAAGTAACGATGTGTGTCTCTATCCCTCCGAGTTCTTACAGAGCCGTTTAGCCGAACACCACATAGACGACTGTTAACAGGAATCCATTCTAGAAGTGCTTCTTCTGCCTCCATACTTAGTGCTATGCCTACACCTGACACTACACGAGAACTAGCCATCGGGTCACCAGATAAACGGAGAGTGTATCTTGTCGGCTCTCCGTTTTGCCGAGGTGAGGTCAAGTGAATGACCACGCTAGGATCCTGTATGTGTGTTTCGGAGACGCAGAATACATCAATCGTACGAGATTATAGGGTTTTAGCCAAGGAAGCCTGCTGACCGATTTGACATAGTGTGCGTACGTTGAAGGCTCCCATGTGTAGTTTGGAGAGAGGTTTCAGTAGATCTGAACAGTGTTTTGCGCACTACAATCGTTGGCTATGGTGACACGAGAGGAGGAAACCAAAAGATGAAGTTTAGTGTAGGAAGTCGATGTAGGAGAAATAATAGGAATTGAAGAAGGAGGTTCACTATGAATAGGGTGATCTTGAGTTCTGTTAGAAGTATGAGGGAGGTTATCACTCCCCGGTTACTCACACCGTGGAAGGGCTTTTCTGGAGGTACCTGAGAAGGAAATTAAGTTAGAGTTGGTCATAGTAACTTGAGAGTGTGACCGCAGTGCCCAAAGTATAACTACTTGAGGTCGGTCACACACGACCTTTTTATGAGTAGTTTTCGTGTTAACCCCGTACTTGTTGAGTCCTTTCCGCCGGAGACGGATATCCGTGGGATAAGGCGGGGTGTGCATTTTTAGGGTCGACCTTTTCTAACCCCACCCCTACTTGTGGGAAGGCAGCATCGCTGTCATGCTGGTTGTCTGAAGGAAACACCTTACTGCTGTAACACCTCTGTACAGTCAGCAGTACGACTTTGCCTTCGGACCTTAGATTTAATGCTTTTGGTCTTACCGCTCTTCAACCGACCTGTCTGGCATGGTAGGACCTTGAGGAACGGTTGTTCCAGCCAGTATAGCTTGATTGGTTCATTGCAATGGGCAAGCCCGACCACCACGTCAAGGTAGCAACAACGGTCGGAGGAGATATTTGATTGGAAAATCTGAATAACCCACTGTTTACCTACACTTTATAAAAGATTGATTACAATATATCTACAGTCAATAAACAAATATTAATAATGTTGATACAGAAGAACGCGTTTTTCTCAATATATAAGATTATTGAGACCCGTAAATAACAAAATGAATCGTGGAACACGTTTCTTTTTAAATAATAACGAAAATACAGTATGACTAAATAGGACGTTAAGGTCACCATGAAACGGTTTTACTGTTATTTGAAAAATTGATAAACTAATAAACATTACGTAAACTATGAATTTAATAATAGCAATAATAATAACGACAATTTATTACGGGATATTATATTACAAGACGTACCAAATCAACAATATTTTGTAAGTTGACAGGTGTCAATTCCTGATTATCATCTGCATATACTTGCTGAAATGTGGCAAAATGAACTGGCGAATCATCGACAATATTTGAATCATATTTTCTTTCACGATCTACTCATTATATAAATAATAAACAAGTAAGAACGATATAATTTATGGTGAACAAAACCACTGAGATGAATATATAACAAAAACTGTTTCTCAATCAATTTTATGACAGAAATGACTAAACGAAAATACAGAAAATTAGAACAAAGTAAAAACTATCCACCCAACTAGCCATCCCGAAAAATAAGCTATTAGTGTTTTAAAATTGATTTGCAGGCAAAAATTAGTCAAAGGGATAATAATACATGATAATGACTATTCACAACTAGATTTATCATTATACTGACTGAAAAACAGGAGACATTTTAAACAAACTAATGTTTTCGAGATAGGTATCTACTATAATTAATAGAATTATTCAACGAGGAATTATCTAAGTAATGACGTTGATTGGTTGGAGGTAGAAGGAAGGAAACATGAGATCCAGTTTCTAAGCCAGTTTAGTACTTGTTAGCAAAGTATCCATTAACTCATAGTTGCAAGCTGTAACTATCAACAGTCATCAATTATATAAATATCTGATGAAAGATTCAGAAGATGCTTTGTTTAACCTCGAATGAATAAGTATTTATTAAATACAAAACGTTGAGTTTAATCTGGACCAACATTTAATTAATACTGTAATCAACATTTACTTCTGACAAAAATAGTTTACACAATAAATCAATTACATCAATCAATCTACAAACATATGGGTAATCGAAACGATTTTTAATTAAAATTGTTTAGGAAAAATTTCACATAGGAATTCTACTTGTACCTACTAAACATAATAACATTACCCTTTCAAAGTATATTAGTAGATATCAACAGGTCAAAAGCAAAAATACTTTATAATAATTTGCTAATGGCTTACCTAAAGCCCAACGTAACTCTCTTCTTGAAACCCATCCAACTAGATATGGGGAATCTTGTGAAACAACAACAGGAAATCCTTTAACATCACATCTACTTACTAATTGGTCCAGATCGCCAACTGTCATATCATATTGTGTAACAACATATAGAGGAGAATTAGAATCTCTGAAAAAACCGATGGAAACAATATAGACAAAGATGAGAAAAGAAAAAGAAATAAGACAAGTCAATTAATTGACGTTGTCAATAATGAAATCATGTTAAATATGTATGCATATAGACGTGTTGTTATTTTCTGAATACAACTGAAAAGTTTCATTTCAAAAACAAAATTTACGAGCAAATCAGGCGACATGATGAAACAGAACGTCATTTTGTCAAACTGACTACATATCTAATGGAAATAATATTAATATCAGCAAAGTGACTTATCGATAAGAAGAAATCGACAACCAAACAACGCCTTCTATGTTAGAGCTCTATTCTACCTACTTCAGTTTGAATAATCACTGAAGTATCACTAGTTCTCAAGAAAAGTGTTTACTTTGAAGCCATGTGCACAAACCTGTACTTATTTACTAAGTTGCACAATATGTTTGTCATTGACTTACGCCTGCTAACCCTCTTGGAGGAGCATAGATCTCTCACCAGGATTCTCCATCCAACTCTCACCTGGAAAATCCTTTCTGGTTCTTTGTAGTTGTTATCCATCATTTACAAGTCTCCTTCCGATTCCCAGCAGAGTGTTCTTCGGTCTTCCTCCTTTCTGTTTCTCTTCAAAATTTCAAGTTGGTGTTTTCTTCGTGATGCACTTTGATGATATCCATAATGTATGTCCTATCAACTTCTAAAGTCTTTTCTTAATGCGTCTGTCAGCTGTCCAACATGTACCACTTTAAAGTACAGACCGTCGTATGAACTCCAGATGGTGTCGACGATTCTCTCATGTACTCCATAGTGTCGAAGAAGGTTCCATAATATTCTCTTATCAACAATGTCAAATGCTTTCTCATTATCAAGGGAGTTGATGTATGGTGACGATTTCCATTCAATTGGTTGTTCAAAGATGATCCGTGGTATCGCAATTCGGTCTGTGCACGACCGATCCTTATGGAATCCAGCCTGTTGATCTCAAAGATGGGTGTCTACTTAATTTGTTGAATGCATATAGATTTGTAAATCTGTTAACATCCTCATCCCTTTCTCCTAGTCAGTCCATGTTGTCTCATGACACCTACGTTCTCAATGTTGTCTATTCCGACCTTGGAGTTTTGTTCTCCCATCACGATGGTGATATCCTTTATTGGGAACTTCACAATGATTGATTTCAGCCTCGCATAAAAATGATGTTTATTGTCGTCGTTGTTATCATTGGTGGGTGGATAACATTGAATAGCATTCATTGTGATCTCCTCCTTCATTGTTTTGAATGATGCTTTGACGATTCTGGATCCATTAGATTCTTATCCTATTAGTGCTTTACATGGTTGTTTGTACAGCATCAGAGTAACACCTTGAGTGTGGGGAGCATTTTCCTCTTCGTGATCTGTATCTAGCCCTTTCTGTTCAGTTTGAGTCGAATGGGTTTCACTGTTTGCGAGTAGCGACAAGTTGTATCTCCTCATTCGCGTTTTTTTATTGGTTCTTCCAGTCTTTCACATTGTCCGGACTTTCCATGTACCTATATTATTGTTGCTCTGGTTGTTCGAAGTGATATCTGCTTTGTGACTTCCAAAGAATCTGGGCTTTCATCATGAAGCGTAATAAATTCTTCGTGATGTAGATCCTTAAACTCTCAGATCAGAGTTTAAATAATCTACATGATCCCTTTTCGGTTGACGAATTTTAACAAGTTTGTTTTCCAGTGGATAGGGTTGTCGACCACACGTACAACCCTTCTCCTTTGTGAGGGTTTGAGACTGTCAGTAACCCTAGAATAGATAAAAAGCGGAGTCTACAGCAATTCGAGTGGCTGATTATTATATTACTATAATGACATAAATTCAGTATGTTTTCACATTAAGATATCAGCTAGTCATCACAAGTATTTGTTAATAAAGTTGTTGATTGACGGGATTGGAGTGGTACTGCTTCAAATATGTCGTGGAAGCCAAACCTACTTCATTCGAAATTTCAGATTCACTTTACAGATTACAGCAACAACAGTCAATACATTTAACCAAGAGGGCATTTTTGTATCTAACCATCCAATTTGTGTACTTGAAACAGCATTAATACTTTAAAAAACATTTTAACTTGTACGAAAAATAACTATCTATAAGTTTAATCGCCATGCAATGAAAATTATGATACATGGCTTATTAATTTTATATATTATGGACCAGTTCAAGTTACACCTCAACTGGGAACCAAGGAGGTACTGAACAGCTATTTCGTTCTAATATGGGACTCTTCATCAGTGCGTATCCATGACTCCATCAAAATAGATTGAACCCAAGATCTTCGGTCTTACATGTGAACGCTTAATCTTGAAACTAACGAGCTGAGATCCAATCACGTATGTCCAACTTCAATCAAATATTAATTGTTGAATATTTTTCCAGAAAGGATGAATATTGACGAAACCCAACACATACTTCATTTAATTTATAAAAATGTAAATTGTAATAAGGCCACTATTGATACTACAAAATGGAGATAACTGACAAACATAAAGAACGATAGATGTTAACGATTAAAACCGACTTGGACATTGATCAGCTGAAGAATTCATCTTCGACCTCAATTGAACTATTTTTGTATCCTCTGGTGATATGTGAAAATTATCTAGTTAGACTCATACGGAAAAAGTAAGTAGTTATGGTGTAATTAAGTATGCTTTACAAATAACTGATATGGTGAGTAAATGTTTAATTGATCGGAGTGTCAGTGAACGGTTGTAATGATTTTATATTTCAATCGTCAATTACATTTATTGATATCAGTGTATTTGCTGAATTTAAACAGTAAATATTTATTCAGTTAATTATTCGTTAATCGTTGTCAAGTACTATTCAGTTTACTGTGCATAGGCGAGATTATCAATTGGTGTGAATCACCAAAAAAATCACTGCATTCGAACACTAATTTGAATTTATTTTAAGTGTCAAATAAATAAACTAAAGTCGTCTTCATGTTGTTTACTTGCATCGTTCGATATACATTTTTCAGTAGAAAATATCAAGTGTGTTCTACAGTTACAACAATAACCTACCATTTATTTAAAAAAAATTATGATTATTACTATTCAACAAAATCTTCACATTTTCATTTGTGAAGAGAATATCTAGTTGGTTTAAATATTTTCTTGAGTGTCATCCTCTGTACTAAATGTCCGATGTCTACATTCCCCATATAATAAATGTATTATTATTTATGGTGATAAACACTCTAGTTTCATAGTTTCAATAAGAACCCACGATAGTTGCACAAACATTTAAAACAATGCAGAAATTGATTAAAAGTTTCACTTTATATTTAATTCAAAGTTATGGTATTATTGAATGATTCGAGCACGCAACTTTTGACAGTTAGATGTAAGAGAAAAAGTTGTTCAACATACTTCAGTATTACAAATAAGTAACTTGAACCATAAATACGATAAGAGGAATACAAAGGAATAATTATGTTATGCTATCAATTTAAATTATCATATCTTTATGGTTGTAATTAATTAATCTCAATATATTACATTAGTTGAATGGTTTAAGATAACAATCTTTTCATTAGTTTGACAAAATCCACGTAATCTACACTTCAGTGATTTTGTGAACTGATGTCACATTTTAGTTTGACTACCATTAGCTACCTTCTAACATACTATAAGGCAAGTTGGTGCTGAGTGTAGTTATGTATAACTTGTACACATTTGAACTAGGTCTTAGGTTGTTTATTTCTATAAGTTCCATGTTTATAAACTGAACAACACAAATTAATTCCAAATGTCTTAGCCAATATGATGAATGAAATTCAACACGAAGTTAAATAGAAAACAGAGGAGATATAAATAGAAGACTAATGAAAACTTTGTTCAATTAAAAGTAATAATAATAATAATCTACTTTGGTTAGTCTAAATTCAATAAAATATGCATACACTTGTCATGAATAGTAAATATGATTAACATAAAAGAACTCCTGAATGAACAACAACAAAATACAAATACCACTTAGTCATATCAAATAATAACATGATTTAGACATATTTACAATAAACTATTTTCCGATATCTTCAATACATTTATACAATATTAACGATTATAATCATTCAAAATGATTAGTAAATTCGGTGAGACTATAATTTATGGACGGACCAATCAGATATAAGATAACAGGTCTGAGATTTTGGCGTGATGTTCAGTCATCCATTTGGTTAAATAGCGTTTTGGCATCTCAGCTGATGTCAGTTCGTGATGAAAACCCCAAGTCTAATTCCTAACCCTAACCACTACATAGAAATCCTAATTCTAATCCGTCACACTAGTTTATAACTGTCATGTAGTTCTGGTTAGTAGATAAACATTCTCAAGGTCAATTTAGCGTCGATCAAAGGTCGTCCATAAGTTAGAGTCTCACTGTAAATTCAATAAATGAATATATTGTGATCTCCGATTGAATCAGTTATTTTTAATGACTAATAAATCTCTAAATCAAGAGCATTGACTGTTTTATCCAGAACAAACAAATTTAGAAGGAAAATACTTAAGTTAATTATGACCATTAGTTGATGCTAGAAGTATTCAACAGTAAATATCCAATGGTAATCTACACTGATCACACACCGTTACATCAATCCAATTTAATCAAAATTTCACCTGATAAATGAATTGAATATTTAATTAAACAAAAGATTACTTACACACGTCCTTCATTGTAACACAATTGTTAATAAATCATCTTTACAGTAAGTGAATATTCAATTACATTCACAATCTTAATTTATAAAACGTCACTCATTTACCTAAGTAAAAATTCGTTTAAGCAGCAGTTTGAGTGTATGGGTTAGTGATGTTATCCAGATACATCCCCTTCCACTGGAACTGAAGTACATACAAAGGAGCTTGAATCTAAAACTTAGTAATTCAAAGTCAAACACTCCCTCTTCACACTATTCCATGACATCTAGCCACAATCAAAATATTATCACTAAGTTATGAGTTACAAATAAAGGAATAATGAACAATAAAAATTCTTTGTAAAGTAAAATTGTATACTCACCTACGTGGATGCATTACATCAGCTGCTACTAATGTATTATCTAATTCATCATACGATCCAAGATATGGATAATCATTTAATCGTATATGCTCTTCGTAAATACTACCATTCGTTAATCGATCACCAGTCCATTTACTAACCATAGCTGCTATCATTAATGGAATTATATAATTTAAACTAAAAATGGTGTTTTTTTCAAACAAAGAAAAAGGAAAAAGCGAACATAATTATTGTTAATAACAAGATACACAATAGACAATAATGAAATCATGAATAAAATGTTGTAATAATAAGAATACTGAAGAATCGAAACCCTGTTTCTCCCTGATGTACACGTCATTAAGATTTGTGTTAAAACTTTCAAAATCACTCTCATAATGACAATAACCAATATTTTAAACACAGTAGATAGAGAAAAGTATATTATGAGTATACTTTCCTCTACAAAGTATTGAAACAAACAATCTAGGAGTAAGTTTAAAATTCACCATCTCGAAATATGAAAACCTGTTATATTTAATATGATAAGGTGAACGAAAAAAAGTCAATATGAAAACTATAGTGATGTAAGATACAACTTAAACCGTTATGCAATAAAGACAGGTTGCTTATTGTTTCTAACTACCTACTCAAATAATTCGCATAAATATGTAATGAAACGATACAACGTCTTGGATGACATATAACGAGATAATATACTGTTTATACTTTGCAATTTTTTTCTAACCAACTAATTGAAAGTAAACTGAAATGAAAACCTAACTAACTGAATAATAGTGCACTTATTCATCATTGGCTTGTTGTCCATTTAAGTGTAGAAATATATTCACGTTCTAGTCAGGCTAATCATGTATTCTTGATCTGAGTTGTGTTGAAGCCCTGTAGAATAGACATTGGGAAGGAATCTAGTATTGATACTTATCGAAGGCAAATTAATGTACCATTAGTGTAAACGTGGAAAACCGAGGGTTATCACAGTTCCCTTATGTCTTATCATGCCAAGCAGGTTGGTTGGGCATTGACATGAGAATAAAGGTAGTATATTCGAAGTTCAGAAGCTGAGTTGAACTGCTGGCTCAACTAGGATGAAGTAACAGTAATTTGATCCCCTCAGACAACTAGCATCTGAAGTGATGCTACCTTCTCACAACAATAAGAGTGGGTTAAAAATTGTCAGGCCTGAAATTATCACAACTCATCGTGCCCCACAGGTTTTCGTCTCCAAAGATAAGGCTTTTATGGTACGAGCTAACATATCAATAACTACTCGCCAAAATGTCACATGTGTTCGATTTCAAGCAATTGCCCCTTGAGGTCTGTGATCACGCAGCTAGGTGGCTACAATCACTAATCAACCAGTTTCCTTTTTAGATACCTAAAGAATAAGTATCCCATCTAAATGTGGGCAACCGGGAAGATACATTCGTTCATACAACTCTAACTGAGCTTAAGATCACCTTGTTACTAAACAAATCCATTTATCAATTCTAAATATTCCTCCCATCTACCACTACAGTTGAAAAAGTGTTCACCTTGGTCTTCCAAAACCGTACATTAAACTACATGTCACACAGTTAAATGCCCAATCCTTATGTCAAATCGGACAACAGATTAAAACTTATGTCAAAAACCAACCTATATAATGATCGTGTAATAATAATACAGCTAACTTCCTACATTAATCATTATGAAATGGAAATAAATAAACATATTTGCAAAATATAATGTAAACAATTAAATAACCTAGAAATATTCAATGTACGTGAAATAATTATAATAGTGATTTATTTAAAGAATACTTCTAAATACAACACATCGCAACCAACACTTACAACAATCGATTTACTGGGGGGTAATTAGGATTTTTTTAATAGACATGAACGTGTTTCGTATTTATAGGTGAACCGGAGTCAAAAAATAAGAACCACATGATCAAATAATAACTGAGATAATTAATTTACACAAAACTTTAATAAAAAGAAAAATGAAAATCAAAAAATGAAACATGTTATCCCTATCCTATAGCTAAGCTAATCAAATAATTGATACAAATTAATCAATGAGAAAGTAGAAAAATCCGATTACGTTGGTTGATGCAATATATTTTGAAATTACTTAGTTAAGAGTAGTCAACAGGAAGGTTTGAATCAAGGTTTCGCATAGGTAGGTATGCTTCAGCTACACATACCTGCATTCATGAAGTAAATGATGCTTTACGTGAAATCGTTGGTTTGTCATCTTGAATGGATGTGAATTTTAAAATACCACAACGACAAATACATTAAAACTCAAGGTATCTTTGATTAAGTATCATCTTTTATATTTTAATATTAGCAGAGAGAAAACGCTACGACAAATTAAAATCTAATAAGAAGGATGTCAACAGAGTTTACTTAATTTGAAGTTTGTTGTCAACACAAATTAATCTCAGTAAAAAACTAGTTCGTTTTAGTTAAAAACCCTCATAACACATCAAGGGACTATACCCATATGACATCATACTGGATGGTGGCAGCATGTTATAATTTGGTATGATGTTGATTACTGCTGTTAGTGATACGACTGTTTCCTACAACTGCTGCTCGCTGCTTACTACAACGGAACAAGACTGTTATGCCATCTCAAGGAATTAAATAAGACTGTAGGTGAAAAATTCTTTATTCAATAACCGGTAATTAAAACAACATCAAAATATATAACTTTTTGATATTCAGTCAACAGGTAACTTTGAGCGTCTTAAGCGAGTAGTAGTCGACATTGAGTAGGGAATAATTTGATGTGTGTATATAATTTAAAGAACCAATAAATTAACTGTCTTAAATAAGAGATGCATCTCATCACTGAATCTTGTATTTGTTTTCTTCTTAACACGGCACAATTTGGTTTCCTTGTGTTTTATTTATATCGAAGAACGTTTTCCATACGACTGATATCATGCTTTTGATATTATTCGATATTTAATTTTTGTGTATTACCTGTTATTCTCTACTATTCCCCACTATTCATTCGTGGGGTTGAGAAAAGCTTTTGTAGTTTTGAGGAGAGTGTTGAAAGCAGTTGGTAAAAAGTCTATGCTTAATCTTTTGTGGTCATTAAGAATACGGTTGTGGATTGATATTTGAAACCTTTTAAACTCCTGGAAGTGTCATCTTATCGTATACAAACCAACCACTCCATTCACATCTTTCTCCTTGTGTATTTTCTGACAGAATGAGACAACGATATCTTAGAATTCATTCACGCAAGCAAAGGCATAAAAGCTGTACAATACTTTATCTAACAAGTATATTATGCGATGAACCGGTTGTTGGAACTGTATTCTTAAATATGTTGCTAATTAAAGGTTGTAGGTATTCTTATTTTCTTGAAAACATTTCATTGAATTCCAGATAGTTCGTTTATATATATATATATATATATATATCGATGGTTCGTTTTTCTTAAGAAAAACTTATTGAAATATTTTGTACTGAGAATTCCATGTTGTACTTATCATATAATACTGAATAAAACCATTAACAATAATAATAATGTCTCAAATCTACTAAAGTCGGACACATAGATCACTGGATTCTGATATAGTTATCTAGAAGTAACATGTTGGTCACAAAAACCTGCAGATCACAAGTTTCGTCCTCTCAGTGAGATTATAAGAGGATATTATCACTGCCCACAAATGACCTGGTACGAAAGAGAGTGGGGTGGGTTCGCCCTCCCTCTCTAAATACTCTCACACAGCCACGCGTATACAGCCTATGCCGGGGAAGTCATACTCACTGCCTTCTCGTGGCATTACTGTTGTTTACGAAAATGAGAGGACGAAAAGCGGATGTCCGGCGCTTTAACCGGACCTTAAACCAATGGTGCACATGGGCTCCAGTATCCTGAGGGAACAAATGGCGTATGAACCAATCGTTGGTCACCGGCCACCATAAGACTGCATCTCCTTACGATGCTCCACTGCCTTGTGAATCAGAACTTTAGGTCAAAGGCTCGGGGTATGGCTCCCTAAAAAACCACCTGCTTCTGTCTGGGTACCCGGGCATTATCACAGCCCTCACACATACCAAATGAGATCTGTGCGGCGCATAAGTATTTGGGGCCTCTTTGTACCAATATCTATGTGTTAAAATGATAATAATAATAATCACTGAGGAGAATTAATGAAGAGTAAAAAGCTTCTATCTAATACCTAATGGTTTTCGCTCATTCACCAACTGATATCGACGTCTGATGATAACAACTTTTAAACTAAAGATTGACTCAGTATAATTTATAATGAAGAAAAAGTTATGTTTACACATCAAAAGTAAAATCAATTTGTGTTTTATGTGAAGTACAAGTGACTAGATACTGTTAAACTTCCTATTGAAATCTTTGCTCTTAGTCTACATAAAATTGGTTAATACAACGACAATTATGAACACCATGCAGAACGAACTTGTCAGATAGCATTGTTGGTGAATCCCAAATCAGTGGAATACATGTTCAATTAAAATTAGTACCAGAATAAATCAGACAATAAAAACGTAGGAAAATCTCTACAAAAGTAACTAATTTCTCTTAATTAATTACCAAACCCTATAAATAAAATAACAATGAAGAACATTACATGGAATGACGCAATAGTCCAATCAAATCGTTATAACTCTTATGGGATTGTATCAAGAAGAAAGCAAATGACTAGTTGTACTTCTCATTTGAAACAGTTAAGTTATAGATTTTTTAAATCGTATGCATAGAATGAACTATTGATTGAGTAATACCAACACTACTGCCAGTTCGATACTAATGACATACATGTCAGTATAAGTGTTTATATCGTTTTAATCAGTTATGAATTATTGGATCAATTTTACTATTCTTATTTGCAGTCATTAATATCAGTATTTATTTCGTTAAAATAAGTAAGCAAGTAATAGGTATCAGCATTTCGGCAAGTAATAACAATAAAACTAACAAAATAATAACAATAAATTTACCCGCCAGTTAGTTCAAGCATAACTACAACTAATGATATAGTCATTCTAGTCACACCACCAAGAGTAGCCGCTGCTCCAACCATAGCATAAAGTCCTGGATTAATACACGGTTGAGACGATTTACACATTTTAACAATAAATGGATGTGATGCATACGCTACAACAAGCTGTTCAGTAGCTATACCCAACATACGACCCATAATTGCACCAGCCTGAATGATATTAAAAAAAAGAGAAAAAGTAAATTAAAATTAAAGAATTTAAAGAAAAAAGAAGACAATAAACCATGATTCACTTCATTAAAATATAAAATAGATAATACGATATGTAAACAGAGGGTAATAGCAATGAAATGGCGATGAAGTTTGAGACAATTGATGGAAGATCTGTAAATGAAGTATTAAATGTTTAGTTTTTAGATTTTACGAAATAACTCTGTAATTGTGCATTAAATAGTAAACTGGCTGTTCCCACCCGAGTTCTCTACATATATACACTGTAATAATTAAACAAATAGAAAAATTCCTGTCGAGTAATTGAGCAGTGAAAATGATTATTCCTTGGGAACACCGTAAAAAATCTACATCCGAAATATATTCCTAGTTAATCAGTGTGTTTGGTAAATTATTTGTAGTTTCCTAATCTGATTAGCTACAAACTATCAATAATTTTGGTATTGTTTCGCATAAATTTAAAAAACTCTAAAAATTACTTGTAACAAAATAAATGATTCATGCTATCTTGACTGCTCAGGTAACCTAGTTTTTGTCATCATTAGTGTTTTCTCTAAAGAACAATCTCAATAACAACTCATAAATTCATATTCCAGCAACGGTCTATGTTATCACCTGACTAACTTCAACCACTTTTAGTTTGTTAACTTTCTTATGCGTCCTAAGGTCATTAAGTGTTACTGTACAATCAAAGCTGCTTTATTCAAACATTTCACTTTTGTTAAAAATATAAAGCTAACCTGAAAATATCGTCTTCCCTAGAGCATGTTAACGTGTGGATGGATTAACATAGAAGTGGTGTTGTATAACAGATTTAATTCAATCGAGTCCGACAAAAAACACGTTCGTACTAGAATAAGCTCAGTCATTCCGCAATTAACGACTACCGTAGGCACAAACTGATTCCAATCTTAAGATAAAATATTTACACGAACTAAAATTAAAATAAAGTTTAAGGTTTATTCATATGACGGTGGTTGCATGGAAATCAGTTACTAAGTCATTTAGGAACTTACTGGATCTGCAATTGAGACAATTCTAGGATCATTAACTTAGATCTAGCAAGTAAAAAAAGCAATGCATTTTTACTAGTAACTGCCAGAAAAATGACCAAAACAAAGGAATACGTACTGCTAATGATGGAATAAACAAACCAGTCGGTACTTTGATACCAAATGTGAAAACAGTTAGAATAAGTTTTAAAATCAATGCGATTGCCAACAATACCATTGCTGTAGATAATGATGGTCCGGCAGGGTAGTTCTGATATACTTTAGTCATTGGATTACTTGTATTATAATGATAATCACTGAAGAAAGGAGGGAGAAAAAACAAAACAAGAGATGGAGATTTTAAGTAGAATCTCGATTATATCATGATACAGAACATGATTATTTATTCTCAAGTAAACGAAATATAAGTACATGAGAAGTTGATATGATAGATTATTAATAATGTGACTTATGCACTTAGTACATTTTTGTGCAGTTAGTTTGAAGACATCGAATGAGGCCAGTTGTAATAAGTGTACGTTTATTGGCCCAAGTTGCCGCACTATCTTCAAAATGAAATAAGTTAGCAAAGATTTGCAAAAGAGCTTAAACACTATTAGTATAAAGGACAGTAAGAAAGATTAAACACAGTTTACGGTTACGGTACTTGTGTGCACCCTAACCAGGTGATCTGTAGCCAACAACACAGTTTACGATTCAAAATGAAATGGAGAAAAAGAGGTACGGAATAATATTAAAGCTGAAGACCTAAAATAAAATAATGACGAACGCATCTGCGACATAAAGACTGATTTTGAAAAGAGTTAAATAAGATCTCCAACAATTGGTTACGATACTTGTTTGGACGCTAGCCGAGTGATATGTAGCCAGTAAAACTGCTCAGATCAATAACTACTGTCACCATGGATCGGTGGTGCGTCATTTCCTCACCATTATTAGCTATTCTTGAAACTAGTCCTATCCAAGCCAGAATAATTAGGAGGGGTGTGCAGTACATTTGTCGCCTGAGTGACCAATGGAAAGATCGTTTGCGTCACAGGCGGCGGAGGTTGTTAAAGAAAATTTGATAACATTTCCAAAATAACTGAATTGGTTAAAGCCCCTGGTTGCTCGATCTTCGCATCGGCACAGACTAGTCATGAAACTTTTTTCCACTTACACGGTGGGTCATACTACTCAAGTACCTCAAACGGATTCAGGAGAAACGGACTTTAGACCTACAGTCTACTGACAGAAATCAAAAGAGGAATGTTACAAAGGTATCCGAACATCAGGATGGTAAAGAACTAGTATGATTATTCGAAATTTCAATTATTACTTTTTTAAAACCATTTAGTATTGTGAATTGTGCAGAGATGTAATAGTCCTTAGAACGGTATATTACTAGTTACTATTTACAAGGAAAAGAAAATAATGCTGACGATGACCAGTGTAGTTCATGCAATTTAAACGAGTTATCATGTAACCACGAAGAACAACAAATATTATATAAATAAAGTTCAGTTTATATATATATATATATATATATATATATATATATATATATATATATATTAGTTTATATAATTGTAGAGGAAATCAATGTTTACTCTCTTATCAATAAACAGGATTGCTTTTTAAATACGTTTCCCCCAGAAAACCATAATTGTAAAATATCTTATTGATAAAAATTAGTTAATGTATATGGGTGTTAAAAATAATGAGAAAATACAAAATGGAAGAAATTCAATGGATTCTATGCGAAATTTATTAGTTCTTATTTGAGAAACGATTGTCAATGTAATTAATTGTATGAGAAAAAAGACTGCGAACTTCCCAAAATTTATGTGCAAGCCAAGTATTATGAAAAGGACTTTTCAATATCGACCGACCGTTACGAGTCTTTCTGTCTTTATTAGTACTGTAAAGTTGACAAAGTAAAACAGGTCAGAAAAATAAATTTGAAGTAAAAGTCCTTAGGTGTGCTTTGTTTTTTTGCTATGTAGAAGTTTAAAAGTTCCTAAAAATAAAAAATGAGAAGTCAACAAATCAAAGGTTGTAATTGTTCATTTCAATACCCGATTGAGATATTACATATGAAGGGACATCCATATGACGAGTTCTGAATAGGACGAAACGCGCGTCCTCAATTACATTTCCAATTACGTTCGATCCATTCTATACCAAGACATAACACTATTATCCACAGTTATTTTCCAGATATCTCGAAGGTCTAACTGAAACATTGTACAAACCATGATGGTCTTGAGTTCAATATTGGGAGGATTCATGAGCAACCACTGAATTCAAGAAGTCGCCAAAATAACAAGGTAAAAGATAACAGTAAACGCTGTTTATTAAAACTACTAAAAAATCTGAACATTCTGACTTTTACACCAGTAGGAAATTATGCTTTAACACTACTGTTATCATTACCCGAATGTTAAATAAAATTAAACCTCTACTTTGTATGTAACGGATTAACGTGAAATAACTTTTTCTAACGAGCAGATAGTTAAACAAAATTTATTGAAACAATCTGAGTTGACTTGTTTGAGATGATGAAAAAGATTTGTAACTCAGGTTGATGATCTTGGTAAAGTCTTATTCTCTAAGCTCAATAGTTTAATTGTAAAGTGTTCATTGTCCTAATGAACAAAATAATAGGAACTAACTTCAGATGTTCAGCCTGGTGTTATTCAGAAGGACGATGGACACCTCACGGCCGAACAATCCATCTCAGAGGATGAAACTCCATTGCCGTAAAAAAGACTATGGAATTAATTATAAGTAACCAGTAAGTATCAATAAACATAAATATAATTTGTATTCTTACCACAGAGAGAAATCAGATCCTGGCGAACAGCGACTAACTAAAAGTTTAATCAGTTCACTAGTATTCATACGAAGATAAGTATGCGGAAATGAAAGAACAGCAGTAATTAACGCAACAATAAGTACTTCACGAACAGGATATTTACCTAACCAGGTGGTTTTACGCAAACGACAGATATACAGATTCGCACGATTGAATATTGTACCAAAAATACCCTGTAATATGAATAAAAAATTTTTTTTTTAATTTAGCAACAATAACAATTAATTAATATCCTCTAGAAACGTTAAAAAAAATACTGATTAGTCTCCAAATGAGACTGTTGAAATGTCAAGCACATGTTGACCTCAACGATTGACAACAGTATATTATGGTGTTGAATGCAACATATGAAAACTAACTGTAACCGTGTATTTGAGAGAAACACAATCGCGAAGGTTGAAAACAATAAGCCACGAGTCGTACAATTCGCCATAATGAAATCATGTACAAAACTGGAGTTTTTAATGAATTAACACCACTCTAAATCTTCCACAAGTACACTATATACTCAAAAGAATCGTGATTACTACGGTTTAAGATATTTGCACAGAGTTTATGTTTTCCAAGTTCACTTTTACCCTAAAGCTCTTCAGTTTCGAAGGTTGTGGTTTCCGAGTGTAAAATAGTCCTCAAACAGTTGTTCTGTAGAAACTATTCAACTGACGAAATCCCAGTATCAACAAAGTCATTCAAATGTATTTGATAGACTCGACGGTGTTAAGTGAATATTTAGATGGAAATTTTAAATATATGGCAATTAAACTTAATGATAATAATTCTTCGTACAAAGTAAAAGGCTTTTTACTCAAGACTCCGCTTGTAGCTATTCTAGGGTTACTGACAGTCTCAAACCCTCACAAAGGAGAAGGGTTGTACGTGTGGTCGACAACCCTATCCACTGGAAAACAAACTTGTTAAAATTCGTCAACCGAAAAGGGATCATGTAGATTATTTAAACTCTGATCTGAGAGTTTAAGGATCTACATCACGAAGAATTTATTACGCTTCATGATGAAAGCCCAGATTCTTTGGAAGTCACAAAGCAGATATCACTTCGAACAACCAGAGCAACAATAATATAGGTACATGGAAAGTCCGGACAATGTGAGAGACTGGAAGAACCAATAAAAAAACGCGAATGAGGAGATACAACTTGTCGCTACTCGCAAACAGTGAAACCCATTCGACTCAAACTGAACAGAAAGGGCTAGATACAGATCACGAAGAGGAAAATGCTCCCCACACTCAAGGTGTTACTCTGATGCTGTACAAACAACCATGTAAAGCACTAATAGGATGAGAATCTAATGGATCCAGAATCGTCAAAGCATCATTCAAAACAATGAAGGAGGAGATCACAATGAATGCTATTCAATGTTATCCACCCACCAATGATAACAACGACGACAATAAACATCATTTTTATGCGAGGCTGCAATCAATCATTGTGAAGTTCCCAATAAAGGATATCACCATCGTGATGGGAGAACAAAACTCCAAGGTCGGAATAGACAACATTGAGAACGTAGGTGTCATGAGACAACATGGACTGACTAGGAGAAAGGGATGAGGATGTTAACAGATTTACAAATCTATATGCATTCAACAAATTGTTTATAGTTCGCAGTATATTTTCCCACAAACGCATACACGAAGCTACATAGGTCTAACCGGATCACACTATACAGAACCATATCGATCATATTTACATCAGTAAAAGTTTCAGAAGGTCAATGGAGGAGGTGACAACCAGGTGATGAGAGGAGCCCATATAACCTCAAAACACTACCACATGGTGATTGCTAACAGGAAACTGAAGCTAAACAAACACTGGGCAGCTGGAGAAACAGCAATAAAATAGTTCAATGCAGTCGTCCTTTAAGATACTCACAAACTCAACCAATTCAAGATTGTTCTCAGACACTGGCTCCAAGCCTTACAAAATCTACTGAAAGAAGAAACTACTATGGAGGGCGATTGGGAAGTAATCAAAATGGTACTAATTTCAACTTCTCAAGAGGTTCTGTATCGCAAGAACCTTCGTCGTAAGAAATGGATCCCCATGAAATCCGTCGTCGACACTCAACAAAGGTAGAGCAAAAGGACAGCACTTAACAACAGCCGAATGAGAACAGAGAAACTCAAGGCACAAGCGAAATACACAGAAGCAAATAAACAAGTGAAGAAGAGCTGACATGCAGAAATACGTGGAGGACCTAGCAATAACAGTGGAAAAGATTCAGGAGGGTGAAATATAGCACAACACTATTGCACAACGAAGAAACTGACAGAGAAATATGGTAAACCACAAAGACCGGTCAAAGTCGAAGAAGGCAAGACAACCACTGAGATCCAGGAACAGACGAAAATGTAGGTAGAACACTTTGAGGAACTCTTCAACAGACCAGTTCCACTGAATACATCAGACATCGAAGAAACTCACACAGTGCTTCCTAAGGCTTACACTCCACCGGCAATCGAATAAATCAGAGTAGCTATCAGACCAATCAAAAGTGTGAAAGCATCACAACGTAACAATACACTTGCAGAACCAAAAAAGTCAGAAACAAACATGCTCTACATTCTAATCAGGAAATTTGGGAAGGAGAAACAGGTGCCGCAAAATTGGAAAGACGGACACATCATCATGATACCAATGCAAAGAGATATGATCAACTGTCAGAAATCACTTACAGAGGCATCACAATACTACCGATATCCATAAAAGTTTTCAAAAATGTGGTTGAACAGAATGAAACTTAGGTAGACAACAATCTTTGAGATCAACAGGCTGGATTCCATAAGGATCGGTCGTGCACAGCACGAATTGCGATACCACGGATCATCTTTGAACAACCAATTGAATGGAAATCGTCACTATATATCAACTCCCTTGATAATGAGAAAGCATTTGACAGTGTGGATAGGAGAACATTTTGGAAAATCATCAACCTCATGCAAAATTCATACGACGGATTGCACTCTGAAGTCGTGCATGACGAACAGCCGACCAAACAGGACTATATCATCTGCGTATTCTAAGTCAATAAGTGGACCTCTTGGTAGGAGATCAATTACCCGAAATTCAGTCGACGAGAGCATTATTTCCATCAGTAGGCATATGATAAAGTTAAACAAAAGTGGAGAAAGTGGACAGCCTTGACAGACACCACTTGAGGTTGCAAAAGCAGGTGACAGTTCGTCATAAGCTCTCACTCAACTGGTACTATTCCAGTAAAGAGCCTTCACAAGGTTTATGAACTTCCGAGGTACGCATTTCAATAACAAACACTACCACAGAACCTCTCGGTATACGGAGTCAAATGCTACTTTTAAGTCAAGAAAGATCATCATTGTCGGACACCGATAAACATGCCTATGTTCTAGAACCTGACAAATCGTGAATATGTGGTCGATGCAGCCATGACCGGGTCTGAAGCCAGTTCATGAGTCTTTCTTAGACATCTGATAATTATTGAGGCTAGTATTTTAGATGCTATATTAGTTAAACTAATCGCTCTATGGTTATCACACGATGCTTTTGACCCCTTCCTATATATTGGGACAATCAGTGGTTGCGACCAGTCACATGGGACTATATTCAGTTCTCAGATTTTTGTTAAAATATTAGTCAACCTAATCTATAAAACTAGACCACCATCCCTAAAGAAATATAAAGTTAATCCATCTGGACCAGCTGCTCTTCCTCTTTTCAGATTAACTACAGCTATTTAAACTTCAGATAGAGTCCGAGGACCTACTTCAATGTTACATTCATGCTGTCTGTGAATGTTGGGTAGTTGTAGAATAGACGAAGGCCACAGAATTGCTCCTTAAAATGTTCCGTCGAGAGAGATGATAAAAGTGTTGTCTTTTTCCAAAATAGTCTCACTTACGATTGACTTATTAATTCCAGTTTATTTTATTAGTCAGAAAAGCAGTCTGGTGTTACCTACAGTCGCCGCCTTTTCTATCTCTTTTGCTTCCGTTGCCCACCACTGCTCACGATCATTCCGTAGACTCTTGGTTAGCATACATCTAATTTATTTCCATTGTCCATTATGTTCAGAGCCTAATGGCATAAGTTTACGAGAGTCTATCAGTGCAATAGATGTTGCAGAAGTCCATTGGTTTTTCATAACCCTTTGGTTCAAATCACTAATGGATGTCACTGCTGTTTCCACAGCTGTTCGTAAATCTTTCCAAGCAACATCTAGGTCAGCTTCGTTTTCGAAATTGCATAAGTATGACTTCAGTTGTTCCTGGAATCTACTCTTGGCTTTCTCGCCAATGAGTTCAATTCTAACGGGTCTTCTTAATGTGACTTCTCTGTGTCCAGTGAGGTGCAGGAAAATGTGCGCTCGTATTACGGCATCATCAGAGTCTAAAAGTTTATTCCAGAACGAGCCACAGTCTTCTATCGAGCCTCTCCAACGATGGCTGACGGCAATAGGCTCTATTTGAGTCCATCGTAGGTTTGGTGCAGTGGGTCTCCATGTTAGACGATGTCTCTCCTTATGCTTAAAATTAGTGCTTGTTAACAACAAACGATTGTCTGGGCACGGTTGCAACAGACGATCACCATTATCTGTTCGCTGAGACAGAATACAAAAATACCCACATATATGTCTTTCCATTTGGTTTAAGCTACCCACTTGGGCATTAAAGTCATCTGCTACAAGTACTATGTCTGAACGTTTAGCTTTTTGAGAAAGTTTAGAGAGCTTTCTGTAAAATCCAGCATTCACTGCATCTGAGCTGCAGTCAGTGGGAGCAAAGGCAGAAACGACGAAAAAGTAACGATGTGTGTCTCTATCCCTCCGAGTTCTTACAGAGCCGTTTAGCCGAACACCACATAGACGACTGTTAACAGGAATCCATTCTAGAAGTGCTTCTTCTGCCTCCATACTTAGTGCTATGCCTACACCTGACACTACACGAGAACTAGCCATCGGGTCACCAGATAAACGGAGAGTGTATCTTGTCGGCTCTCCGTTTTGCCGAGGTGAGGTCAAGTGAATGACCACGCTAGGATCCTGTATGTGTGTTTCGGAGACGCAGAATACATCAATCGTACAAGATTATAGGGTTTTAGCCAAGGAAGCCTGCTGATCGATTTGACATAGTGTGTGTACGTTGAAGGCTCCCATGTGTAGTTTGGAGAGAGGTTTCA